ATACAATTAATTATGTTCACAATAATTTGTTCAATTAATAATAAAACAATAAAAATATTTTTATTTACACTTTAATTAATTTTTTTTACACAGTATTTTATCAATAATTATTATTTTACTTTATTTCAAAAAGCGACGAACAATCACGATCAGGTTACAGTTACTACTAAGTAACATCAAATGGCAATTATGCAGTGTTGCCAGGTCGTGTTTTTCATGCCAATAATTTAAAAATTATAACAGTTTTGAAAAAGGAATTTAAATTGAGATGTCAGCGACAATAAAATTAGTTTTAAATTAAAACACTTGAGCACATATAAGTTGACAATAACAATGTCGGTTTTGTTTTTTTAGGATTCTAACTTTTATTTCATCCATAGAATTCTTAATATTCATGATAATTACAATATAATTGATTATATTTATAATTATAATTTTAAGCACATTTTTATAATCTCATTTGCATAACATAAAGAAGTTTAAATAAATTTAATGCCTTTTTTACAAATTTAAGATGTGTTATAATATATGTAACTTTGTTCTCATAGATTTATAAAGTACCTATATATCTATTTCATTATCAACTAAAATAAAGTTCTGTTAAACATGAAAGGATAGAGTGTCAAAAATTTGCATCTCTTAATTCGCATTCCATTATTCTCCAGCAAGTGATGACTGGTGCACCAGTGTATCTAACATTTTGCGGATTCCTCAGTAGTTCCTGTAAAACAAAATTGCTATTTGATATTCTAATAACGTAGCGTATTCAGCCACATAAGTATTTTTGTATTAGTTCTGTTGTAGCAATTGAATATTTTCAAATCCACAAATCAGTTTTTAAAATTTTTTTTTTAAATCAACAGATGCAACTATAAAAGAATCTTTTATAGTCAGAAGTTTATAAAAGTCTGAAATTTTGACTGGATTTCGTTTACAGTGAATGCGTGAAATTTTGTAGTAGTGGTTATGTGGCTGTGGAATACGATAAATCTATTATGAAAGAAGTGTTTTATTAATAATTGATATATAATTTATTAATTCATTCATGGGCAATACTTTTAACTTATTTATATTGTATATAAAATACCCATGGAACTAATATTTTTTCATGAAATTAGAATTCTCATCTAAGTTGTTTCCATTCAAATATAAGTATCACAAACCATGAGATAGAATGCTAAATTTAATTTTATATAACGCTGTATAGTTGGAATCGAGATCGAAGTCATGAAAGTTTGATCCCCTGATTAAAAAAATATTAGGATTTTATTAAAACATGAGAAAATAAATTTTTAAAAATATAAAATGTTAAATAAACAATATTTGAAAAATTTAATTCGTTTTGAAAGTCTCAAAAGTTGATTTAAGGTTATTTAATCGACTTTACGCTCACGTAAACAATCTTTAAAGAATTTTACTTAAAACTCATCGTATAAATAAATTTTTGTAAGAAACTTAGTTTGCAATTAATTTCAAGATTATAGTGGCATCTGTTAATTAAGAGCAAACTTCTTACTTTTCACTTAAAAGTGAAAACACAAAACTATCATTGTGCAAAAGTTTTCCTTAAAAAACTTAACAAATGCGATCATCTTCCATACTCACATGATATATAACTTTTTCTCTTCTTCTCTTTCTGAAATGATATTCCTAATTATTACAGTGTTTTTCAGGCTGAAGTCATCATTGAGGTCATCATTACAACTTGTCTGGAAGTGGGTAATATATTTGTTAGAAATTTATACATACTACCAAACAGTCAAGCTGTTTTAATATCCCTCTTTTTACATCCAGAACGTTTCTTGCTATATATTACTAAACGTGATGTCGAATCAGCTCAACATTTCTCTACTCTGGGTTCCCGGGCATAAGTATATTTTTGCCAACTTCAAAGCAGGATATTTTCAGCTCTAACCAGACGAAGTACTTCAGATATTTACTCGGAATACCTAATAAATCTGAACATATCACTGATATCATACAAACTCTTTTTGAAATCTTTTTGTGCTGAATTTCTGTAATAAAATATAGGAAAACTCACAAATATGTAGACATCTGACAACGCAAATTGACCGTGTTATTAAGAAAAAATCCAGTACTCTCAATGAAACGTCCCGTAAAGATATCAATCGTGTGGTAGGGTAGCTCACTGGTCACAGTCGATTAGGAAATCATTCTAAAGGATAAAAATCCCCTTTGTTTCTGTTCGGGGAGAGGACGATGAAAGTGCCTCAGATCTGCTTTGTTCTTGCTTAACGCATGCGCATCGCCGTTTTACTTTTGAGTACCACCCAATAAAAAGCATTTTAAGCTTTACTAGGGGTTCAATGTGATTTTTAAGCCTTTGAGTTTTCTTATGCGTTAACACAATGGGCCAGTAGTTGTCCTTACTGGATTCCCAAAATGATTAGGAAATCATGCTTAAGGATAAAATATCCATTTCTATCCGTTCGGGGAGTGAACGATGTAAGTGCCTCAGATCTGCTTTGTTCTTGCTTAACGCATGCGCATCGCCGTTTTACTTTTGAGTACCTCCCAATAAAAAGCATTTTAAGCTAGAGGTTTAATGTGATTTTTAAGCCTTTGAGTTTTGTTACGCGTTAACACAATGGGGCTAAGTGAATTATGACAACAGAATTTTTTTCTTTTTTTTTAATTTAAAAACAAATTTTTCAAACACTTTTTGCAAAAGCATTTTATTTACTTTTTTTCAAATAAGTATATATGTATGTATGTAGGTAGTTGATGGAATTATATACGCGTACGTGTATTTTTATATACCTGTATATAGTTATACAATATGATAGATAGCACACAAAAATCTCGCACTTCTCTCATCAATGTGTATTTTAGTTATATATCATTAATTATATTTCATTTCGTCATTTTAAGTGTTAGATTTTTTTTTTTCATTTGTGTTCATTTTATTTAACGAAATTGTTTCGTTCTGTTTTTTTCTGTTTTTTTTTTGTTTGTTTTCCATGTCTTGCAAAGTGAAAATATTTTTGGCTGTTTTTCTTTTTCTATATTTTCTATTATGTATATTTACTGCATAATTATTATGTCTTTATTATAACATGTCTCTAATAATGTAATAATACATTTTCTTTGTATGTATATAATTCATTCTTTATTGTGCATTAAATGCAAAGCAAATATAATTCGAATGTATTTTTTGTTTTTGTTTTTCATTTTGTTTTTGTTTTTCTTTTTGTTTTTGTTATTTAAGAAATTCTTTCACAGATTTTATTTTGTGAAAAATGCTTGTTTCTTGATCTCGTCGTTATTAGTTGATGTATGTGTACGTCATTTAAATATTAAACAATTGTATTCATTAAAATATGCATTCTTTCTTATTTTAAAATAAAATAAAATATAAATAAATATAAAAACATAATAGTCTTATTTGTACATATAAAATATTTTAAAATTTTTGTTTTTTTTTGTTTTGTTTTACATTAAATAAAATTTAATAATTTATAAAAAGGTACCTAATTTGCTGTATCTTCGCTTTATTTTCTTTTTCATTTCATTTGTTTTTGTTTTTGTTTTACTTTTATTTTATAAATAATACAATAAAAAATTTATTTAATTTTTTGCTTATTCGAAATTTTGTTTTTGTAAATAGATAATATTCTTATTTTGTTTTCATTTTTTTTTCAGTTTACTTATTGTTAAATTATTCGGCTGCATCTTAAAAAATTAAATTATTCCATATTTGTTTTTGTTGTTTAATTTTTTTATTTTGTTTGTTTGCTTTTAGGTTTTATTTTGAGTTTCTTGTCGCATCTAGTAAAAATATTTTTGTTTATTTGCATTTCGCGATTTTCACTTAATATTTAAATAATGTATTTTCATAGTTTTTTTCATTCAATTATTTTATCTACATATCTTTCTAAATCAAAACTTAAAAATAAAATTTTGGGAATTTTCTATGTGTTTTTTAATTTTAATTTAAGCTCAAATAAAAAGAGATTCTCCTTTATTTAATACTTTAATCCTTTAAATACAATTTCATACGTTTTCGGTTTTTCTTCTTTTGTTTTTGTTTGTTTTCTTTTCTTTTGTTTTGTTTTGTTTTTGTTTTTGTTTTTCAACATTTTCTTTGAGACATTTGTTTTTGTTTTGTTTATACATATCTTGAATTTTTCTTTCCTTTAATTACAGTAAACATAATTTGCAACAATTTACATGTATGCATTTAAATGTTTTTTTTGTTGTTTTTATTTGCCTTGTATTTTATTCTTTTCTTTATTTAATTTTATTTCATTTATTTTTTTCAATACATACATTTTACGTTTTTTGTAATTTTTTCTTAATATGTAATATAGTAATAGTTAAATAATTATTTAATTATAGAATAAATTTGAATAGTTACTTTATTTAAAAATCCAATCAATATAATTTTATCATTTTTGCGTTTTTAATAATTTTTTAAAATTCTTTTTTTGCATTTTTATCAAATTCAATTTCAATTTCAAAATTTAGCAATAATTTTTGTGTTTAATTTTTTTTTTATATGTATTTAATTAATTTTTAACATCGAAGCATTTTTATGATTATATAAAGGGTTTATATATAGGGTGCATATTATAAGTAATAGATGTTCTAAATTTTTTTATAAGATATATATAAATATTTATATATATATATATAATATGTATAATACATTAAGATCTACTTAATGTTTCCATTTTTGTTTCCTACGAAAGCATATTTAGTGCTTACTAATTTATTTTTATATAATTAATTAAAATGTTTATATTAACGGAAATGTGTTCAATACAATTTTTCATTAACTTGCTTTTTCATTTATTTTCTTTTATGTATAATAAAACTCGAAACGAACATCTAATTTCAAAAACTATGCATATATAGTGTAAATTTTAAATTTTAAATTTCTACAAACTTATGTGTCTTTCTGTATTGGGAGCGTTCTTGCAGTTACGTGTATGAGTAGTGTTTTATAAGGTATAATTTTTAATTATAATATATTTTAACCTGTTTATTTTTGTTTTGAATGCAACGTATACGCTGCTTCCAATGCTTCAGGCTATTATAATAATTTTAGTAGTAGAAGACTTGACCAGGCTTCTGCCTTTTACGTTCTTCTAACTTGCGATTGATTTCCTGTTGACGTTCAATTTTGTTTAGCGCACGTGCAACATACAAAAATTTATTGTCTCCCAGCTGCTTGCCATTCAGTCCAATAACTGCAGCTAAAGCTGACTGTGGACTTTCAAAAGCGACAAAACCAAAGCGTCGGGAGCGTCCCTCTTCATCAAGCATAACCTAAAAGTAATAGACAGTATGAATATTTTGTCAATATATATTTAATTACTTTAAATAAAGACTATATAATATATAGTAATATATAATAAGAATATAATATTATTTACAGTATCTTAATATATTTTTAATATATTCTTAAACAAGCTAATTGATCAATTGTTTAAATAATACATAATTTTATAAATTATTATTAAAAAAATATATTTCATTGTCAACAATATTTTGACCATTGTCTATATCCATCTATAGTCTATAATCATCTTAGGAATATAAAGATGACGATCTATAGTTTATCTTCACTCCCTAACAATCCCATCCTTTCACAAACAACAATAACCAATCCATATCCTAACCCCTGTATTCGTCATGTCATTCCTTTCGACTATCTGATTTACAGATCCTCACGGGCAACAACAACAACAACAAAATTTATATTCATCTAAAGATGACTAGACTATAATTATAGTCATCTTAAGATGACTAGACTATGATTATAGTCATCTTAAGATGACTAGACTATGATTATAGTCATCTCAAGATGACTAGACTATGACTATAGTCATCTTAAGATGACTAGACTATGACTATAGTCATCTTAAGATGACTAGACTATGATTATAGTCATCTCAAGATGACTAGACTATGACTATAGTCATCTCAAGATGACTAGACTACGACTATAGTCATCTCAACATGACTAGACTATGACTATGACCAAATAGACCGTTTAAAATATATAAATAAAATTTGGTTTTTTAAACAATTTATTGGGCACAAATACAATCCTGGGGCGAAGCTGAGGATTGATTAGTAAGCCAAGGATCCAGGAAGTCAATCACTTACTGAAAAGCATGGATAAATTTAAATTCCAACGCACTCAATAAGCATAAATTCAGTCTTAAAATAACTATATGAACGCCCTGTTAGTATGGTGCGTATGTACTAGAAATATGACACACAGGATCCGGATTCAAAGCCTATCAAGGGCTGGTTTAAAAACAAACTTTTAAAAATTTTTACAAAAATGCTTGAAAGATCTGTCTAAGAAGTAAAGCTACAAGCATAGAACTAAGGAGCTTATCCGTGGCTTAGAGAATTAGTCAACAAAGTTGATTGAAAGAACTTTTGACGTCGGCATGACTGCTTATACAAAATTAATTTAATAAATATACATCTACTGTTTTTCTTAATACAATATTTCTATGAAATGCTTATAATCTATAATGCAGACAAGAACTGCCAGATTTACGTCCCGGAGCCACTTGTCGCCAGTCACGAATGAATGACGTTCAACACATCCCAAAGGGACTTCACAAGCAGGTCCCAGCGAGGTATAACAGCAGAAAATTAGTTATAATTCCGAAACAGAGCAAGACCTATTGTTTATGTGGATAAGACTTTACTAAAGCTATTAATCACTAAATTAAGCTATAAAAAAGAATCAATTTTATGTATAAAATAAGAAATAGAAATTATTTCTTAAAAATAAGAATTTCGAATTATATATCATTTACTTTATCAAAAATACCTAAAAACAGTTATATAAAGTTTAATTTGTTCTATGAACAAACAACATTAAGTTATTTTACATCCTGGAGGCTAGTTTAAATTGAAAAAGCGGATCAGCTTATTTCTCGAATGTTATTGTGTTTGCAAATTAATAAGTTTCGTTTGCTCAATAACGTTTAACAATGCTGGATATCTATTGTGACCACAACAGCAATATTAATTATAACATGTACAATATAGAGTTTGAAAAGCGTCTGAATTACGTCCCAGAATTACCCAAATTTACAGACAACAACGTGCCGTTCACCACGTAAAATTAGGAAAGCATGTCTACTTTTAACTACAATAAACATGTCAATATAGACACACTTTCATACGATTGTTACAGTTTCTGTAATATTATAACTCTAGATGAAAATATACAACAGATCTATAACCCAGTTTCCCTTGCTTTCTGGCTTAGATAAATATAAGTCGTTAGGTACTAAGTCTATTTATTTTTCTCACTCCCCTGATTACTGGACTGAAGTTTTCACAATGCTGTGGAAATCTTCTTCATTCATTTCTAAGATGTGGTTTAGTAGATTCAAGTATCACACGGTGGTTTTCAATGCTTCCACCTACTGTGAAAAAAAAAAAACAACAGAAAATTGCAATATAGATTAGAATTTATAGATGCTGTTTTGAGATCATTTGTATTATTATCTTAATACTCATATTATCCAGCATTGGATAATAGGCTAATGAAAATATCTGGATTTGCTCTTAATTAAATTAGTAATAATTTAAACAGTATATATTTAATAAATTCGTTTCCGTTAGAGCACTTAGGAAAAAATTTTTAAATCAGGTTAATTATATATTGAAAATAGTACGTAAAAATATAGTTCAAGGTTTTTCTAAAAGCTAACGAACTTAATGAATTATGAAACATTATAAACAATCACCCCGCAAATTCTAAGGATGAAGAAAACAGCATTTAATTACAGTCGAAACTAAGTAAATCAAGTGAGGACATGCGCAGACTGTCACGCCAGGAAACAGAAAATTCAGTGAAAAAACTAGGAACGTAAAAAAATGTGATATAAAACAAGAGTTAAACTCCTTCATATAAAAAAATTGTCATATGCATATCAGCAAAACTTTTATATATAAACACTCTAATCTTTCTTCAAAATAATAGATATATTCCTTACCTTATGGCTAGTGATGCGCCCATACGGTTCAAACATTTCCCGCAAATGCTGCTCTGTAAAATCGTCATTTAGATTTTTCACATACAAATTCCTGAACTGTGATGCCTTCTCCTGTTCCCGATCACGACGTGGTATGAACTTGACAACTACAACCTTTTGGTTGTTGCACAGCATGCCATTAACCTTTTCGATAGCAATGCGTGCAGCTTCTTCGGAATCGAAATGCACATAACCATAGCCACGGGAATTGCCGTCTTCATCTTTGGCAACATTACAATTCAATATATTACCAAATGCAGAAAAAGTATCGTACACTGCCTTGTTGTCAATTGAACGTTCCAAGTTTTTAATGTAAATTTTGCCACTATCAGGTGAACTGGTGCTGGCGCCACTACCACCCGAACTTCCACCCAAATTTGGTGACAAAGAAGTTATATTGCCACTACCAACTCCCATAGCTGCATGTGGATGACGATTAATTCCACTTGAGTTGAGATGATGATTATTATTGCCCACTTGATGTGCACCGGGATGCGAGCCGTGATGGCTTAATGGACCAGCGGCTTGGCCAGATGCATGGTGATGCATCTGAGGGTGGTGTGCAGACAATGCCGGATGACCTGCAGCTGCTGCAAGTGAAGCAGCATGATGATTGATAGTTGGATGTTGTTGTTGATAGTGATGATTGGCAGCTGGATTTCCGCGAAACGTCATTGAATTTACAAACATGATTGGCGGCACTTGCTTGTGTAACGTGGTGACTGCAACTGAACTATTCTAATTGCTTAAGTAGTTTATATTTAGGATTATATAAACTGCAGGAAAATATATTGTTTACAGATGCTCCGAATTCCAGGATTTGTTTGTTTGGTTTCTTATGCTAATTTGCTGATTTATCACAACGTATACTCCGTCCGTGTGTTCGTTTTGCAAAAAATCGTTTATGTCGATTTTTCTTTTTTTTTTTTGCTTTTCTTTAACGTTTTTTTCTTTGTTAAGTAAAAATTGTGGAGTTGCTTTCACTTTTTGTTTTTTTTTTATTGATTAAAATTATATTACTTTTGTTTATTTACTTAAGTGGAATTAATTTTACTTTGTTTATAACGTTTTTAAGAATTTTTTAATGATTTTTTGCAAAACGCAAACACAAAAAACTATATTATTGGATTTTTGACGAATACGTGCGAACAGCAAGAAAATGCAGCCAAAGAAACTATTTCGTCCCAGCAAAATATGTAATGCTTTTCACAAAATCAAAATGGACGTCAAATATTCGAAAAATTCGAAGTTGATGCAATTAAATATTACAAAGCAATCTGCATTAAAATAAAGAACACTAAAAATTTTTTATTTTATTTTATAACACACTATTTGGTTAAACTAAATATACATTATTTTTTATATTCGAAAAATTAAAAATTTTTACAATAAAATATTTCAAAGCAATCTGCTCTAAAATATTTAACTCCATATATTTTTTATTTTATTTTAGAATAAAATTTAATATAATATAAAATAAAATTTATACATTAAATTACATAAACTTGTCAATAAGTGATAATATTAATAAAAATATAATAATTTTTTATATGTCCTTATATAAGAATATATAATATATTTATACATAATATATTCTCAAGAACGTAAAAACGCAAGCATATAAAACTACAAATTGCACTGTTATATTCAAGTATGCATACCAAATTTTGGTCTGCAGACATATATGCGGTAATACATTTTCCAACGTTTACATTATAATGAGCTCATTTATGCAGCTGATAGAACCTTTATAAACTTTTACAAACTTCACTTAATAATATATCACATAATAAAAATAAATACATGATATATTAAATCATTCATATACATTTTATATATCAATTACATAATCAACTAATAAAAACAAAAATTTTATTATATACTTACTTCCTCATTGCCTTTCTTTGCAGCTCAGCTGTTGTTTATTTACATTTAACATATCAAGCACATGACAAATATTTCAACTTTTGGTGATATGCCTTGTGGGAAATTTGTTTTTAAGGGTTGCATTTGACAATTTCTGTCTAGGCCATGTGCGAGTTTGAGTAAGTTGGTGGTAAATTGAGGGAAATAGTATATTATGTCGATATGGCAGGGAATGTTGATATTTACCAGAATTTCGCGTATAGTGACTTAGATAAAAATTAAGTAAATTAGGTGTTATCATTGTGAAAAAATTATAAGATTTTTATTAAAAAAATAAATAATATTTAAAAACTTTTAATCAAAAGTTATAAGTGCAATATATAAATATTTACATTAGTGCAGTACAAAAAATTCCTAGGAAATTTCAATTTATTTTACCTCAATTTACTTTAACTCGCACACGGCCTTAGTTTTATTAAAGTATTTCATATATTTTAAAGGTATTCCATGTTTTTTCTTCTCTTGACAATTTTGACTAACAAAAGATCGTCAACGCCAAAAACTAAACTAGTATATATTATTTTATGTACTATTATACTATTATTGTTTTATGTATATAATGACAGTACACAATCTGTACAACTTTAATATAAATAAGATTAAAAATGTTTTTAAAATCACCAATCAATTATTGGGAAAGGTTAAAAAAGTAAAATAAGTTTTGTTATTATAAAAAGTTTCACTACAACTGTAATTCCAGTCTTACAATATCTATTTACTATTTTTTCAATACGTAAATCCAATAAACAATAATTAAAAAATACATAATTTGAGATTTAAGAAATCAGCTGACCCGTTCTATCTTATGGAAAACAATATATTTGATTGTATTTTTTATATATTTAACTTCACGTACATTCTTCAATACCCTTATATTTATTAGTGTAAACTCCTAACTGTGATTTCTGAACTTTGGCAACTCTACCACTTTTGACGTTTCGCATTAATTTCAGCGCGAATTGTTTGCGAATTTGTAAATGTTGTTATCATAAATGTTAGAGGAAAGTATTTGTGCGAGTCCTCAAAGGGAGCGTAGATCGGTGCACAAAAAATGGTTGGCACGACAAAACAGGAGCCACCAAGAGCACGGTGACGCAAATACTTCCACAACAGAATCAAAAGAATTTTGTGTCAGCACAGGCAAAGCAGAAAGAGAAACTTCGCTGTTGAATAATCTTTATTTTGATACAAATCTATCGGAAACGAATAAAAACCAAAAGTTCAATTTAATGGAGTTTAACGTATTCGAAGATTTGGAAGATTTAGCAGCTGCTGATCATTTATGCTCTGCGCAGGCGCAACCGAAAAGCCAAAAACTCAAACATGCAGCCAACCAAGAGTTTAAAGATTGCAACAAATTGCTAGAAGAAGAAACGTTAACAAAAGATCAACTTGAAGAATTACTTAAAGATAATAATAAAATTTCAGGTACAGAAATAAATAATATACAAGTGAACGTTTCACCACCCACAGATCAAAATTTAAATGAGTTCAATAAACAGGAACCAGTTATCACAGAGACGGAACTATTATTTTGTTGGGAGCAGGTTGAGGAAGTGGTTTCAAAACTTAATAAGAGTCAAACATTGTGTGAACAAACTGTACAATCACCGAATTCAACAAAAAAAAAATCTGTCGTTGAATTGATATTAGATGATTTTTGTTCACCACCTAATAGACATTCACAATCCAGTGCCACAAATGAAAATATAGATAAAACGCCAACATTTCTACATAAACGTAAACCTTTCAGCACCTACAGTCGAAAATCGCTCTTTGTAAATAAAGGAAATTCAGCCCAAAAACTTGGGGATTATAGTGCAGTGCTAGTACATTCAGTTGGACCACATAATGTTGGTAAAGATGTACGCGATGACTGTTCTGGCTCGATCATACAAAAGCAGCAGTCAACGTTGGAACCTATTGAAGCTGTCTCTGTAAATATAAATAATAAATATGAAAATAGTGCAATTCTAGTTCGTTCAATTTCACCACATAATGTTGATGAAGGCGTAAGCAATGCTTCTTCTAACTTGTCAGTACAAGAGGAACCAGCATTACAGCCAATTAATGCTAATGCGATAAATATGAATAATTCACTTAGATTATGTGAGAATTTACAAAATTTAAGTACGTTCTTTACACAAGATTCAGACACACCGACTGAAGTAAATAACACACCTGCAACGACGCAAGCAGAAAATTATTTAACACCATTGGGAGCTAGACAAGATTTAGACATACCGAGTGAAGTACTTTCCACGGCTATAACGACGCAAGCAGAAAATTATTTAACACCTTCAGGAGGTAGACAAAATTCAGACATACCTAATGAAGTACATTCCACGGCTATAACGACGCAAGCAGAAAATTATTTAACACCTTTGGAAAGTAGACAAGATTCAAATATACCGAGCGAAGTACATTCTACAGCTACAACGACGCAAGCAGAAAATTATTTAACACCTTTGGAAAGTACTTTCTATACTAAGACTATGGAAATAATGCGTATATGGGAAGAAATTAAGATTATTCGACAGCATATTGAAGATAATCCGCGATCTTTTGAATTTGTAGATCTTAATGGATTTGAAGAACGAGGCGGTGATATAAATAATGAACTCAAAACAGAAATTTACTTTGGCATAGGTAAGTTAAAGTTGATTGATATCTGTTTAATACATATAATTAATTTTCATTTTTTAGCTGGTAGCAGTGAAAATTTAAATCAGTTAAGCCCAGGTTGGTTTCATGCTTTGCTTAAAACAATATACATTAACATATATAATATTGTGTTTTTTATAGTTAAACAAAATTTGGACACTGCTGATAATCTTTTCGAAGATTGCGAACATGAATGGAATGATGATTGTGAGTTTTTTATTAATTATAAAACACAAAAAAACTGTGATATAAATATAAACGCTGAAAGAGGAAATATTTCGAAAAGTGATACTTTAAAATCACTCAATTTAAAAACGAATATTGAAGAGGAAAACTCTGTACAGTTGTTAGAGAATATTCAATTCAGTGAATGGATATTTGACGATCTTGCAGTATCTGAAACAAATGTAATCAACCAATGTGATACTAATATGGCAATTATGTCGGAGGAAAAATATCAAGGATTTTCTACAGCATCTAACAAAAATATAAATATATCAAAAGAAGCTCAGTTGAGAGCACAAAAAATTCTAATGGATTTGCCTGAATTACCTTTAGAAAAGATAAATAAAAGTAATTTTGAAGTACCAAGTCCTTCTATAGTCAATCAATGTGATACTAATGTGAAAGTTATAGCAGAGGATAAACATCAAAGATTTTCTACAGCATCAAATAAGAATATAAATATATCAAAAGAAGCTCAGTTGAGAGCACAAAAAATTCTAATGGATTTGCCTGAATTACCTCTAGAAAAAATAAGGAAAAGTAATTTTGAAGCACCTAGTCCTTCTAAAGTCAATCAATGTGATACTAATATGAAAGTTATAGCGAAGGATAAATATCAAGGATTTTCTACAGCATCTAATAAAAATATAAATATATCAAAAGAAGCTCAGTTAAGAGCACAAAAGATACTAATGGATTTGCCTGAATTACCTTTAGAAAAAATAAAGAAAAGTCATTTTGAAGCACCGAGTCCCCTTATAAATAATCAATGTCATACGAATATGAAAGTTATAGCGGAGGATAAATATCAAGGATTTTCTACGGCATCAAATAAAAATATAAATATATCAAAAGAAGCTCAGTTGAGAGCACAAAAGATTCTTATGGATTTGCCTGAATTACCTTTAGAAAAGATAAAGAAAAGTCATTTTGAAGCACCTAGTCTCCCTATAAATAATCAATGTCATACGAATATGAAAGTTATAGCGGAGGATAAATATCAAGGATTTTCTACAGCATCAAATAAGAATATAAATATATCAAAAGAAGCTCAGTTGAGAGCACAAAAGATTCTTATGGATTTGCCTGAATTACCTTCAGAAAAGTTAATGAAAAATTCTTTTGAAGTAGTTAGTACTCTTGAAACCGCAGCAACTTCGACAGATACAAAGTTATTTCCGTTAAAGACTAACAATAATACATCATTAGGTAAGTATTTTATTGTATAAATTATAACTAAATAAAGAATATGAAATTTTAGATGTACAACCAGGACTTTCAAATGCCTCAACATTAAATAAATATTTATCTAATAATGCTGATGATTTCCCTGATCTTTTAAATACATACACTGAAAATCGATTAACAATTCCAAATAGTAACGCAGATTTTGTAAATACTAATATTGGATTCCAAACAGCATCAAAAAAGTCTATTGCGATTTCTGAAAAAGCACAAGTAATAGCAAGTAAAATTTTAGCCGAACTTCCTGACATACCATTTACTAAAGAAACAGTGAAAGAACAGTCAGAGTGTGTGAGTTCAAGAAGTATAGCTTCAAAAAGTAAAATTAATGGTAGCCTATGTGATATGAACATAAACTATGATAATATGGTCTCAAAGGAAAATGTTGGCTTTCAAACAGCTTCTAAAAAGAATATAGAAATTTCTAAAGAAGCACGAGATAGAGCAAATAAGATTCTAGCTGAATTACCAGATTTACCTTATACAGTCAAAGGGACGCAAAACATAAACGAAATAAATAATGAAATAAAACATGAATCCAGTGATGTTATAAATGAACCAGTCATTATTACTACGAATACCTCTACTGCCAAAAATACTAACATGTCATCGAAAGGGAATATTGTTTTTCAAAGTGCAACAAATGAACCTATAACAATTTCTAAAGAAGCACCAGCTGGAACGAATAAAATTTTGTTGGAATTGCCTGATATATCATATAATGATACACAACTGAGGAGTACAAATAAAATAGACTGTGAAAATTATATAGACATCGAGCAAAATTTAAATAATATCACAAAAGAGAGCATGTCTTCTAAAGAGCTTATAAGTTTTGTTTTTGGTTCAGAACCAAAAACAAATAAAAATAAAATAATTCAAAATTTGGACACTGTTGAGAAAAATGATAGTTTGATCCTTGACAAAACGAAATCTACAACCACACGGTTGGGTAAGACAATAACTGATGTTAATACTTCCAAAACCACAGTAATTTTGGATGAAGTCGAATCAGCAGTAGAAACAATTATTCAACGAAAACGTGAGATGGAATGTGTTGAAGGAACACCTCCTCAACTAGTTCGAAAAAAAACCAAAACTCCAAATACGCGAAGTGGCAACAAAAAATTAAAATCAAACTTAAGTGATTTAGCAGTTCGTTCACCCTTAGATTCCAGTCAATTCTCCTCAATTATAACCAGAAAAAATTTACTCTCCTTGAGTAGAAAACGAAAACGAAATGCTAAGTCTGTTGTAAACGATGCCGAAAAGGGTGATGTATTTGAAACACCTAATAAAAAACAAAATATGATGAATGTAGGTTTAAATACGCCAGGTACACCTAATCTACAGGAGTTTTATAATTCAATATCAGGTAATGCAAGTACACCACTTAATAAAATTAAAAACGATACCACAACAACCAGTAAGAATGTTAATATTCATAAAGATATTGACTTAGCTGATGATATGCAAGTTATACATTGGGATAATTGCAATGATGAAACTTTAAATAAGTCACAATCTTTTGGTAAAACCACAAAACTGACAAATACATCACTTAGTAATGTAAGCTCTATGGAAGCGAATCCAACGCCACAACAACGTATTGAACGTTTGAATATGTATGGCAAAGCAACAACGGTTTCGCCAATTGCAATGAATTCTGTTCATAATTGCAGACCTTCCGGCCTAAGACGGAATCCAACAAAAACGACACAATTTAATATGTAATTAGCTAATTAGTTTGTATTAAATATAATTTAAAGTATTTGATTAATTTTTTAAAGTTTATTTACTGTTGAGATTGCTTAAATATAAGATGTTAAATATTTTTTCTTCCATAAATTTAGTAAATGATCAGTTTTTTTTTCATAACTTTGACATGTTTCCTAATTATCACTACATAATTTTAATTTCTTATCTTTTGTTTAACTATAAATAAAATAAATTAATTTGTTTTATTTGCACTTATCTTTTTTTTTTATTTTTTTTAAGTACCAGTGTACATTTAATGATTTTCAAATATAATCTTTTATTTTTGGTATAAAGTCAATATGCGTTTTAATAATATTTTATTTTATATAAAAGTCAAAATCAGAAAAGTATTTGAACCGATTTTATTGTATTCCATAAATTTTTGAATTATTTAGTATTATAAGATAATAGCATTATAAGATAATATATAAATAGTAGAAGTAGCGAGCTACACCTAATGCATTTTTATGTGCTGATTTACGTTTAGTATAATTATTATTAAGTGAGAGTCCCTAACAAGAGAAGTACTGAGGGACAATTTGCTAAACCATCTGAATTTAAATGCAACTCATAAGTTAATAAAGCTTATATATGGCTATAATTTTTAGTATACTAAGTCTGATAACTTCGCAATAGTTATGATAAAGTTAAGAATATTTTTTATGGTAGTGTTTTGTTTAAGCAAGGCCGGATTTTTTTAACACATACTCAGAGATAAGGTTTTATTTTTATCTCACTATTTTTTAAATTTGAACGAAAACATTTTTTTTTTAGTTAAAACTAGTATAAGAAATACTAATAAGCAATTTATAAGAGAAAATACAAAAAAAAAATATAACTAAAGCAACCATATATATGTACATATATATTTGGTAGCGGGTTCTACTTTCGCTTAAGATCGAGTACAGCTGTTTTGCGCTTAAGCTGTTGCTGATGAACATTTAGGGCGTCTTTGTCAAATTCTTTCGCTACATTGGTAATGATTAGGATATGTAGATCGCATTGGATGTCACAGGATATCAAAATCTCAATAGATGTCACAGGATATGTAGATCGCAATGGATGTCACAGGATGTCAAAATCACAATGGATGTTACAGGATATGTAAATTCCAATGAATGTCATAGAATATGTAGAACGCAATGGATATCACAGGAAGTACAAATGGCAATGGATGTTACTTCAAAAATACTTCATTTACATATGGTATATTTATATACCATAAGTAATAAGTTTATAAGTTATATTTCTTATTGTAAAGCTATTGTAGATGGTTTTAGCGTTATTAAGCTTAATGCTCCCCTCTTTCATTCCATGTCAATATAGAGAGCCAATTGTAAATTAAGGTAGGTAGTTTCAAGTCTTAAGATGTTTAGCTTTGCGATTTAAAGTTTTAAAACTAACCCGGTAGGTTGGTTATTTTTGTAATTTCTATTTTTAGAATAGAAAATATTCATAATTTAACGTTTTGATTTACCAGGTTTGAGCATTTACACAAAAGTCTTCAGTTGTTTCGTTTTGCTGTTCTTCCCAACGGTTTCTACATTTCTGGTTGTAGGGGAGACTAGGCCCATAGCCAAAAATGCACTTTGGAAAGGTTCTTTGAGTTGATTTTAGAAATTTAAAAAAAATTCATCGTAATATATAGTCATTACATTATTTCTTAGAATCATTATATATCAGTTATAGTTAGGGTTTTCGGTGTAAATAAGCCAAGCAAACCGAAATATCAAAATAATAATTACTTATATTATTGAAACGGGCTATTTTATAAATTGTTAAATGATACAGTTTTTTAAAAATTAGTTTTTTAACAAATTATTTATTTGCACCAATATTTCAACTATATTCTAGTGCTTTTCGTATTCCGTTTTAGGAAGTATTCGGAGAATCCGATTAATTGGATAGTAAACGACATTTCCAGAGTTCAAAATTAAATCGAATCTGGAATCTTTGAATATCCGGATTTGCGATTATTATTCACACTGAAATTATTCGCAGACTTCGTAAGCAAAAGATAAAGGAAAAGCACCAAATGTGTTTGTTTATTTTATTTTATTAGAAATTACTAAATAAAAAATTTACTTTATTTATATACTTCAAATTTTTAAGTTTAAATAACTTTATTAATATTTATGATTTTTTATATATTAAAGGTATGCAGATCTGAGGTCAGTTGTTGCTTAGTCTTATGAAGTGATAAACAATAACCCAGTCAAGGTGGTTATAAAGAAAGTTCGCAGTTAATAGAGAATAAAAGTGTTCAAGTGCACTGACTCAACTAGCCTCAATACAATTGATGAAAATTTGAAATATAATATAAACTCTACATATATATGTAAAATTTTTACAATATTTATGCAAATACAAACATTTTTTTTTATTATTTTCTTAGTAGAAATAATTTTCAATCAAAAAAATGCACGTATGTAGGAATTAAGAAGGAAATATGCATGTAATTATGCATGCATATTATGTCAATAAGCTATTAACGAATAACGAGCATTTTTAATTTTTCTGCATTGACGCTCTTTTTATTAATTTTAAATTAAATTTGTTTTAAAACAGTTCTTAACAATCGCTTAAACATAGCATACTGAATACATAGAAAACATAGCCATAGTATATTTGTTACAAAATACAACACTGTTTTTTTTTTTTTTTGCTAAAACTGTTATTTGCTATTTTCTTTTTGCTTTTTTCTGTCATTCACTTTATACTTCAGTAGCACTTCTGCGAGTTTGTTGGTAGGATATGTTGCTATATTGTTACATTATAAACAATTTATTTAAATGCAAATATTAATGTAATTTTTTTTTGAAATTGTGACAGTAATATCTTAAATTGTATTTTGAAAGTGAAAAATTAATTGAATTTTTTTGTTGTTAGCAAGTAATTACATCATAGAGAGGGCGGTACTTAAATTGTCGTTAAAAATTTCTCTTCTCTATATATGCTTGTAAATAAATAAACGTTAATTATATAGTAAATGCAATATATGGCGTTCGCCACGATTCAAACTGGTTTAATGTGTACAATTTAACAATAATTTCTTTAAATTACTTTCTTTTAAACATTTGTGCTTATATTTCGATATCAATGAGTGCATATGTCATTTATACATAATTAGAATTTCTTAATTTTTGCAGTTATAAATAAGCAAAAAGTTGTTATAAAAAAACAAAATATTGAAATTTGTTTAATTGTAAGTTTTTATTATCATAAACATTTGCAATTTTACAAAACCTTCGTTTCTTACATCTTTATAACTGTCGGAAAACGTTAAAGATAACATTTAATTTAATTATTATTTAACTATAAATTATTTTGTGTTGTAATTTTTTATTTTACAGAAAACATTTGCAAATAATTTTTATCGTTTTTAAAAAAAACAGAAACGAGAATTTTTTATAGCATTTTTTTTTAAAGGAAAACAAACAATCTGTTTTATGGCTTTTTCGCCGACGTTTTGGTTTTGTTTAAAGTAAAAAATACAATTCTTATCGGGTTAAAAAAAATATTAGATTTTGTGACACAATTTATATACTTCGATTTTCAAGGTTTTCCTGAGTTCGTGATTATTTTGTATTCACATTTCACTCTACACTTGAATATTTTTTTTAATAAAGTTCTAGTTTTAATTATTTTAACAAATAATACTGTATACACACACACACACCCACGCCCATATATGTACTCTTAAGCCAGCGAGTAAAATAGGGTCGCGTAGCGAACTTCAGTTACATTTAACTGTTTTTGTTTTTATTTAATGTTAACTTATTCTTAATTATTTATTTATTATTAAAATGTTATAAATGTTAATTTTTTAAGTTAAAAATTATCCATTGTCGTTCATGCGACTCGTGGAGCAACATTAGCATGACTTTCTCAGTATTACGGTCCTAGATGAGGCTATATATACAAGATACATGCAATAAATAATGTCTCTACAAAAAAAAAGTATTGAAATTTAAAAATTAAAAATAGAAATAGAAATATTTGATTCAATTATTCTACAGCTGGTTTGTGATTTCGTTCTAATATCAACACAGCAAGTGAATTTGTTAATAAAACATAAAGTCAAGTACGGCTTTGAGTCAGTTAGTTAAGGTGCGCTGACTCTAAGTTTCAAATTTGGCAGGGTACGAGTTCGATTTCTGGTACTTGCAGTCACAAAAAATTATTTACGAATAATTAAATACAAGAACACTGATGATGGGCATTTGGCAACACTCGAAACAGCTGTATGGTCAGCCAAAAATTCAATTATTTAAAATAATATAAAATGAATTTTTGTTGTTGTAGTTCACTACTGTTCGAAAAACCTCTTTATTTTTATTTATGTAATCCTTTTCTATATAAAGTTCTCAAGTTTTTTGACTTCTTAATTAGAAATGCTGTATGAACAAACTTTATTTTATGATTGATAAGATTAGAAGTCGAAAAGTTTCGAAACGATAACTTTATATAGAAGAAGACTATATAAATAAATACAAATTCGAAAACATTTTTTATTTTAGAATTTTATATTAATAGATTTTTTTTAGTGCAATGCTTTATGCACTGTCATACCGGCCGTCGTCGGAATGGTGTGCCCGACTACTAAACATTAATATGTAGTATATGGCTAAAACATCTCCTCTTAACCGAGACTCATTCCCCTCGGAACCACTTTCGCATTGATTCAAAAACGAAAGCCAAAACCCAAGCTCTTGTGATTTTCGATCTGCGTTCAGACCTCCACTTTTTCTTAATGTCTGCAATATTTATTAGCCTAGTTTCGGGTTGTCCTTTCTAGGTCTAATTGTTTCGCTTTGAGGACTTAAATCAGACATGACTCTATTGTTCGCCAGCTCTTTGGCTTCGGATCTATTATATTTTCGGGATTTATTATTCCCAACATTAATAATTAAATTTAATTGATAATCAATTTATACATTATAAGTGTTTAAAAAACTTACTTTTTCTTATACTCTTCGTTCCACCCTCATTACATTATTTTATTCAATACTAAATCTCATCATTTATTCCCAATCCCTATATTAACTCTTTATCAGTTTAGTAGTATGTGTATTTTTGCTCTGCGGTTCCCTATAAAAATCTACTGCGCAAAAGAGTGCCAATCACTTACTAAACGTCACCATAGACGTTCGATTCCTCCAAAATAAGTGATTGTATAAATAGCTTATGAGTAATTGGTAGAATTCAGATATCATGGTAACATTAATGAATATGTGAAGAATAGTAGATAAAATCTTCACGGTTAAGAACAAAAAATCGCCACACATGCGCTCAGCTATAAATCGTCTTAGAGTTTGGTCACATCTGAAGACTTTCCTGTAATAAAACTGTCGACTAAAAAAAAAGGAAAAAAAATTCTAGATTCTAAGTAGAAATCGTCTTACAGTTGGACCACTTTTGAAAACTGTCCGTTTATAAAACTGTAGAAAGAAGAAAAAGATTATTCATTTAAGATAATCTTCCGCTCATATCATTTGAAAAAAGAAAATGGTTATTAAATTAATTATGTAAATTCAATCACTACATACCGATTTGCCTACATTTACACATACCTAAATTGTAGACGTCAATTTATCCCTTTTAGAAGAAGGGACGGTGTAGCTGGTCATCATTATGTGGGTCCTCTTTTTCTTGTGGAAAATCACTTCAGGCACCCTTTATGGAAGAAACAGACCTTCGCTTCCCACTTGAGTACGTCTATGATGCCACAAACTAGTGGTTATCAATCCAGATTACTAAAAAATTAACAGCGTTGCGTGCAATTTCGAGATTTAATTCTTCTACTTTGACAGTTGCGTAGACAAGATTGTACTAAAGGGAGTATATACTATAACATTTTTTTGGCAATGTTTTTGCAGCTCACTAAACTAATTAGACTAAGATTTAACAGTAGTTATATACATATATAACTCCTCAATAACTCGAAGTACCATTTTGCAAAGAAAGGGTTCGACTAATGGAGATTTTTTTTTTTTAAATAAATTGCTCTCTAAACCGTGTTGCGCACTATTTAGTTCGAGTTATAGAAAATTCGACTTATAGAAGTTCGAGTTATGAAAGTTTGACTGTATATGAATAAAGAAGCATTCTTAATAGTGTTATTCTCAAGTTCCTGTCATAAATTCACTCTGATCAAAAACTTAAACTATTTCTTCTATTATTTCTTTGTCCATAGTCGATAACTTCCTCAAGTGCTTCTAAAGTTTCATTATCAAAATTTCTACTTACTGGTACTATCATCTAAGCCCCATATAAATACGTTACTATTCTTTATTTGCACTTTCCATTCTGGAAAATATTACGCGGAAAAGAATATAATGATTGACGAGTAGAAGTCTTACGCTTAAAATTATCAGAAGAAAACGTGTCTGTAATCACTTAAAAAAAAAATATCTATTGTTCGTGGTAAAAATGGAAGCTCTGTTTTGATAGAAGCATTCTTTGATAAAAATAATAGATATATTAATTAAGTTGCTTTGTTATTTGTATTGATTGAATTTCTTAGTTTCTATTAGCTTAAAAAAGTATTATGTATCATTATGAAATGAATTTTTTTCAATTCTTCAACTCTCTTCACAACATTTATAGGAGTAGTCGAGCCTATTAATGCGTTCAGCTGTTCATAAAACAAATTACTTCCCGTATTTACAAGGCATATGAAATGATACAGCCTCTCTAGCTAAGTGAGAAGAGATTATTTCCTTTACCTTAATTTGCCTATGCACTCTTCAGTATTGAAGATAGATATTATCTATGCTTCAGTGTTGATGCTTGCTTTGGATTACCATTATTAACACTATTTATTTGTGTAGGTATATTAAACTACCTCATTATCTTATGGTTCTTTTATACAGAATTGAGTAGGACGGAGCGTGCTGGAACGGGAGCTGTCGACCTAATCTCAAAAAATAATCTCGTTTTTATTCGAAAGACTAAATGAGCTTTGTTTGGTAAGGGTTAGTTGTAGCACAAAAGATCTATTTTGGTGACAGTATTTTGTATCTCTGAGAACTTTTTCCCTATTATTAATCGATTCAGACCTTCATATAGCATAAGTGTGGTTTAGAAGTGAATATTGTTTTTTGGGAGTAACAAGTATTGCTCAGGAGCTACCGAGTAGTGTTCAGGAGTAAACAGTATTGTGCAGGAGTTATAAGCGTTCTTCAGAAATAACGAATGTGGTTCAGGAATTACGAATGTTTAGGAATAATGAATGTGGTTCATGAATAACAAATGTGGTTCAGGTATGACAAATTTGTTCAGGAGTGAAAAGTATTGTTAGGGAACTATACTTGTAAGTGTTGTTCAGGAATAACGAATATTGTTTAGAAGTGTTCTTCAGAAGTTATGAGTGTTGTGTGTGTTACGAGTTACGAGTATTGTTCAAGAGTTACGAGTATTGTTTAGAAATGAAGCGTTGGTCAGGTGTCTAAACTATTGTTTAGGATTTATGAATAAAAATTGTTTAGGTTTTACAAGTTCAGGAATAGCGAGTGTTATTTACGAATAACGAGTGTTATTCACGAATAACGAGTGTTATTCACGAATAACGAGTGTTATTCACGAATAACGAGTGTTATTCACGAATAACGAGTGTTATTCACGAATAACGAGTGTTATTCACGAATAACGAGTGTTATTCACGAATAACGAGTGTTATTCACGAATAACGAGTGTTATTCACGAATAACGAGTGTTATTCACGAATAACGAGTGTTATTCACGAATAACGAGTGTTATTCACGTTGAGAAAAAAATTACCACTACTATCAAAATCTACTCTTATATATAATAATACGTATAAATCTATATATAATATATTATTATTCATATTTATATGTGAGTTGTATTGAAAATGTCTTTTAATGTACGAGTTTAAAAAAATGTGTTTATTGAAAAAAAAAACATCTATGGTTTTAAGTAATTATATTTTTTTTAATAATTACAAGCGTTTAGTTTTTAATCAGAGAACCCTTCTTCTCCGCAAAGTCTGGATAGTCTATAAAATGGTATAAAAATTTTGTTTGTATATTTTATCAGTTGCTTTCAGTTTTATATTCTTTTTAAGCGTTGGGAAGTTCGGTTGAAAAGCAATTAGTCTCAGTTGAGTGGAAATCTACTTTGGCTTTTAAGTTGGTAATCAGTTAAATTTTAATGGTTTTAAATTGTATACATTCAATGTGACACGTCAGTAGAACTTTATTTTTGCACAGATATAGAATAACACTTTGGAGAAATTTAGTTATAAATAAAGCTGTAGCCAGTGCTTGGAGCTTAAATCTGACACTAGCGATAATATAAACAAAATTTCGCTAACAAAAAAAAAATATTTTAAAAAGTAGAGGAAAAAATTTTATTTTAATATAAAAAAAGAAATTTATTTCAAAAAATTAAACAAAAACTATTTTTTGCAGTTACAAAACAAAGAATTGCAAAAATGTCTAACGGAGGAGATGAATTTGATGGATGCGAGTGTGTTTGGAGCCATGAATTCGTAATGCAACAGCTACTGGCACTGGTAAGTTATCCACCTACTTTTTTTTATTTATTTATCTATTATTGTTTATTAATAGTAAATATGATGTTTTTTTTTTTTTGCAGATGCGTCGCAGTCAAACAAATTGCAATGATGTGGAATGCATTGATGGTAGAAATGATTTATTTTTCTCGTATATGTACTTTATTTATTTATATATATATGTGTTTTCTATTTTTAGTATCTGGACGTTTACAGCAACCAGCTGTAGCACGTCAAGATGATAATATTGTTATGATGGTTATGTTTATGATTCTTGCTGTAATCATGTATTTAATACGCCCCGAAACTTTATTAAAGTTTACAAATACCAAACGTCGTACTCCAGATGGAGATGAACGTCATGGGGATCCTCCTCCACCACCAGCACCGCCAGCTATTCATTAAAAATACAATAAGTAACGAATTTATAAAATTTATATTCCGTTTAAAAAAAATATATATGTTTTATAGTAATACTTAATCAAATTATAGAAAATTATACATAATCAATCTTACAGATATGTCTAAATATTTATATATTTAGACGGGCTGAAAAAAAAAATATCTTAACACAAACTAATTCAATAATTTATAAAAATACGTATTTGTAATATTATTTTATTATTATTATTTATACGCAATTATATAGTAATTGCAAAGCACAAAATGATTACATTTTTAATAAAAATTTATATTAAATAAATGAATTCCCTTTTGTTAAATTGAAAAAATATATATATACTTCGAATATACGATGTATAGTGGATTGTAGCCATTCATCAAAGATGATAAACGACCTTGCAGGGAGTGAAGTGTCTATTAGGATCACATAACTGTAAAACAGATCTAATTTATCTGAAGTAGACCTACTATAACGCGTCTCTATTTTATCTAACCTAATATACATCCCTATAATATAAGCTTCAAATGTTAAAATTAAATTTAAATAAAGATATTATATTTCTAAAGATATATACAAACGGATACAGTACGTTATGGTACCGTCACGATTTTTATGCCGTATATCAGCATTTTTTTAAATAATTTTATTGAAAGTTAACTCTATTTTTTCTATATAAAATAGATATTAAAAATAAAGGACAAGATAAAAAAGTTAGGTTTTCCATTTTGAGCAGTCTTTTTTTACTCTATTTTTAACTGTCAGTTTTTTTTTAAGAAAATCGTGATGCCAATTATTCTGAATATTATACTACATCTATTTGTCTTATAGTATATACCATAATGATAATATATAACATAAATAGTACCGTACTATACCGACTTGATTTTGAGCATAATTTTGTTTTTTATTATAATATCGTTCCATACTTTACCACGTTTCTAATTTTATCGTATTAGTTGTTTTAACACGTACTTACTTAAATTGCTATAACCCGTAACCGTGTTTCGGTCTGACGTAGCGTGTCCCTACAAGCGCCTCTGCTGCGTCCATACCTTCTCCAGTCTTGTATATCAAATACGGCTAGTACTCCCTTACTTCAACTGTAACCTCAAATACTTTTTTCAAAGGAACATATTAATCCATTCTCGATATGACCAAGCCATCAAAGCCACTAGGTGTAAATTCACTGAAGCATATCAATGTCTTAGTAAAACCTGTATAGCTCGAGGTTAATTCGGTTTAGGTTGTCATCGTCAATTCGTAGAGTAACAAAGATCTTACGAAGAACTTTTCTCTCGAAAACTCCTAGTGCTGCTTCATCATTCTGTTACAGCGTACATGCTTTTGCAACATATAGAAGCACAAATAAAAAGTTGTTTAAATTATTAATTTTCGAATATATTGAAGTTTCAGGTTGCTAAGAACTTTCATAAATCCTTGAAAAATTAATTTATATGTATATGTAAAATAACTAGGAAATTATTTTAATTCGATAACTGCTATTTTTTATGCATAATTTTATTTATATTGTTCGATGCCATTAATTAAAAAATTTCAATAATAAATAATAAAATTTACACAATCTTAAATAATTAAAATTAATTAAAATTCTAATATCGTATGACCATCTTATATATAAATGCATTTAAGTATAGATTAAAAAACAAAGACGATGATGTTAAGAATCCTTAATTTTTATGTTAAATAAATTACATGCATGCAAGTTACAGATATCACAGTCAATTACAGAAAGATAGTATTACTGCTCATCAATGTGTAAATAAATATAACAATTTATTACTATATATAAGCTATTTACAATAATAATAGCATGTAAAATGTATTCAATATATAGATATATCTATAGCATAAGCTGGTTGGCTTCTATTGCATAAGTTTAAAATTTATATACAATTGATATTAAATTAAGTTACTTAAAAATGTCTATATAGTCTGAATTCAGAGTACTTTATTGCATTAATCTATAGACAACTAACATTATTTGCATCTTTCTCTACTATATGAGAAAGATTTATTTTATATGTATACAACATATTAGACACAACGGCACATCATCCTACGTACAGTTTTCAGTTGAATTAGATAAAAAAATCTATTGAAACTAATTAAGTTATGTGAATGAGGAATCATAAATGAATATTAAGAACATTTTTATAAAAAAGATGTGCCTTTAATATTGTTTGTATGATGCGCATATACTGTATAGCATATCGGAGTCGTTTTGTAAAAAAAACATACATATGTTTTTAATACTGTTTGTTAAGCAATATATACTGCATAACATATAACATCTTTCTCTGCTACGCATTCTACAGATCACATAATTAAAACTGTATCTTATAATTATATACATATATATATATATATCCTATATACCACTTTTATATATATATAATATATACATTTCTTAACTTTAACATTCGAAAAGTATATCTCTCTTGGAAGTTTTTTCCCCAAAGAAATGAAATTCGATTTCTATTTATATTGTGCCTACTCGCAGTATAACAGAAATTATTGCAAATATTGGAGAATTTGGTTTTGTTGCAGTATTATTGCAGAAATCGGTTTAGCTTTCTTTATTAAAACTTGAACACCCTAAGTTCGGATTGCTGCAAAAGAGTAGTGTGAATGCACACCTAAATTTGTTTCTGTAACAAATCCTTAGTTTGTTATGGCAAAAGTATGGAACAAGCAATTAATATATTTCAAAATACATTATAGGACTTAATAAGTAAATCATTAACATATAGAATATATTTTTTTGCTTGATCTTTTGTTTCTATTCGTTTTAATTCTGCTTGAATTTATCAAGTAAATTTTTAATTTTTGTATACGATCCAGTTGAACCGGGCAGATTTTCGAATAGCAACAACTCACAACTAACATCCTTTTGAAAATTGGATATTGGCGGAAGTTTTTCATATCCTGAAAAATTAAGTAAAGGTGTACTGACATATGAGTCAAGCGTAGCAGAAATATTAGCATTAGTTTTGGGAGTTGAAAGAGAATTTTCATCTTGCGTTACATTCTGTTCCATTGAACTATCAAATTCTTTGTCTAAATTTTCAGCAGTATCTGAGCTAACATCATTATCTTTGTTTTTGTTCGGTAATAATGGACCACAAAATTCAACACTATTACATTCTTCGTCATCATTCTCTAATTCCATGTCTATTGAATCTGTTGAAAGATTTTTGTTACTTTCAATTGAGTCGTTTCCGAAATCATCTATTAGTCCAAATTCATCATCAACTAAATACGGCTCTAAGGTTTTTAAAAATGCATCTTTCATTAGGTTTGGTGTCAATGGTGGAACGTTATGAAATTTATAATCCTATAAGTAAAAATAAATATAATATATATGCATTTATAATATAACACTTACATCATAGAATCCTTTAAAAGGTATGGAATTGAATCCAGGAAAATCTATAATGTCTGATCTACGATATTTTGGTCTAGAATCAAATGCTTTTTTCGGGTCGTCCTGTGATAAATTTTAAGAAAAATGTACATTTAATTTAAATTATATAGAAGACCCCAAAAACAATCACTTACACTCTGTATTATAATACTTAAGCCTGATGATTCTACTTCAGCCGCTTTCAGCCAAGCAGGTGGGTAACCATGTTTACGCATTTCATATCTATATGATGGCATTTGACCCTTACGTAAACCTAACGCTTTTGTTACTTCATCATCCATCTGTCCCGGTTTTATGTGCTCATAACGACATGACTTCTTATGATATCTTTCGCTATTACTCTTAAATTGCCTTTTAGCGCGGGTTATATTTTTTTTATTTTTAGGTTCTGTACATTTAGATAATGGATGTTCTGTAGAACCGCAATTAAAACAAAGACTATTTCTTGATTGAGGGCAATTATTTTTATCTTCAACTTTTTTGTTTTTACTAACAGCCTTAAACGATGGAACACAATCATTGGGATCTAATCCGGGAGTTGTATCAATAAAAAATAATTTATCAATGCCAGAATAATCTGGAGATGAGCATTCTGATCTTCTTGAAGTGCTCGGCCTGTCATCATCGTTTATACTAGAATTAAAAAAACCTGAAGTTGAGCATGCAGTTCCTTTTGAGGTGCTCGGCATTTCACCATCGTTTACATAAATAGTGGGTGATTTTCTTTTGTCTTTTAAACTAGTTTTATTACTATTAGAAACATTTATTTTTCGTGCCTCTTGCATGCTGTTATATGTTATAGATAAATTATCACCGATTGCAGTTTTATAATCTGTGAATGATTCATTCTTAGTTCTTTTAATTTTTAGACCAATATCACTTTTCTCGTCTTCATTATACTTTCTTTTTATTCCGTGTTTAGGTGGTGATTCTTTGAATTTATTAGTAGTAATTTGCAATTTATCGTCTGCTTTAGAAATATTTGGAATGTTTATATTATCAATATTAGATTTTTCTATTGAAGCCATGTCAACGTCCATATCGTCGTCATCAGAAATCATTCCTTCTTCTTTCTCATCATTAACTTCTTTGTTGTCAATTAACAATCTATTTTTTATTGTTTCAAACTGGGATTTTAATCCAGAAAGATCTTTACTGAGTTCAAGTTTACGATTAGATTTTGTGTTTTGTGATTGTGTTTCTTTCAATTTATATGTTGATGCCGATGAATCGCAAGAGGTCCTGATACTGCTTAAAAATTTATTATCCTGCAAGTTTTTAACATTTTTTACATCAATTATTTCTATTACGCCGTCATCATCATCATCATCTGTAATCATTCCTTCTTCTTTCTCATCGTCAATTTCTTTGCTGTCATTTAATATTTTATTTCTTATGGGGTCAATACAAGATGAAGCCTTAAGAACGCTTGATAATTGATTATCCTTCAAGCTATCAATATTTTGAATTTTTGGATTTTTATTCAATGTATTTTTTACTTCAACTATTTCTATTATACCGTCATCATCATCATCATCTGTAATCATTCCTTCTTCTTTCTCATCGTCAATTTTTTTGCTGTCATTTAGAATTTCATTTTTTATGAGATTGATACTGGATTCTATTTGGTTTTGTTTCTCTTTGTAGGATGGTAATGAAACGTCTTGGACTATGTTAACACTTACTAATTTATTATCCCTCAAGTTTTCGATATTTTGAATTTTTGGATTTTCTTTTAATGTATTTTTTACTTCAACTATTTCTATTATACCATCATCATCATCATCAATAATTATTCCTTCTTCTTTTTTATCATCAATTTCAATTTCAATACCGGATTCTACTCGCTTTCCTTTCTCTTTGAGGGATGGCGATGACGTATCAAGGACCGTTGTAACGTTTGGCAATTTATTACTCTTCAAGTTATCAATATTTTGAATTTTTGGATTTTCATTCAATGTATTTTGTACTTCAACTATTTCAATTATACCGTCGTCGTCATCATCATCTGTAATCATTCTTTCTGCTTTTTTATTATCAATATCTTTAACATTTAGAATTTTATTTTTTATGGGATCGATACCTGATTTTATTTGGTTTTCCGTCTCTTTGTAGGATGGTAATGAAACGTCTTCGACTATGTTAACACTTACTAACTTATTATCCTTCAAGTTATCGATATCTTGAATTCTTGGATTTTCATTCAATGTATTTTTAAGCTCAACTATTTCTATTATACCATCATCATCGTCATCTATAACTATTTCTTCCTCTTTTTTGTCATCAATATTCTTGTTATTATTCAACACTTCTTTTTTTATGGATTCAATACCGAATTCTACTTGGTTTTCTTTCTCTTTGAGGGATGGCGATAAAGTATCAAGGTCCGTTGTAACGCTTGGTAATTCATTTTTTAAACTATCGATATCTTGAATTTTTGGATTTTCTTTTAATGTATTTTTTACTTCAACTATTTCTATTATACCATCATCATCGTCGTCATCAATAATCATTCCTTTCTCTTTTTTATTATCTATTTCCTTGTTCTCATTTAACACTTCTTTTTTCATGGTTTCAATATCGGTTTCAATATCGGTTTCTACTCGGTTTTCTCTCTCTTTCAGGTATGGCGTTGAAGTATCATGGACCGTTGTAGCGCTTGGTAAGTGGTTATCCTTTAAGCTATTAATATCTTGAATTTTTGTATTTTTTACTTGAACTATTTCGATTATACTGTCATCATCATTAATATGTATACTTTCATCTTTCTTATCATCAATTACTTTGCTTTCATTTAACATGCTATTTTTAACAGTTTCAATACCAGGTCCTATTTCTTTTTGATTTTCTTTCACTTTGGATGATGGTAATGAAACGTCTTCGACTGTGGTAACGCTTATTAATTTATCATTCTTCAACTTTTCGATATTTTGAAGTTTTATATATTCATTCAACGTACTTTTCACTTTAACTGCTTCTATTATCCCAACATTATCACCATCGATAATCATTCCTTTCTCTTTTTTATCATAAATTTTCTGGCTATCATTTAACATTTCACTTTTTATGGTTTCAATACTAAACGGTACTAAACGGTTGTTTTTCACTTCAAAGGATGCTTTAAAAACCGTTGTAACGTTCGGTAATTTAATATTCTTCAAGTTATCGATATTTTCAATTTTTGGATTTTGATTCAACTTATTATTTACTTCAACAATTTCTATTATACCATCATCATCCCCATCAATATTCATTCTGTCATCTTTTTTTGCATCAGTATTTTTTTTGTCATTTAACATATTATTTTTATCAGTTTCGATATTGGATTCTATTTGGTTTACTTTCACTTTGAACGATGGTAATGTAACGTCTCCGATTGTGGTAACATTTACTAATTCATTATCCTTCAAGCTATCTTGAATCTCTGGATTCTTATTCAACGCATTTTTTACTTCAACTATTTCGATTACATCGTCACTGCTTTCGTCTTCTTTTTCACTATCATCGATTATTATTTTCAGTTCAGAGTTATCCACGCTGAGTTCCGAGGAGGAGTCAAGATCAACAACTTCAGCACTTTTGTCTACGTTGGTATTGCTACACTCTTTATCGTCAAACTGTTTTGCGTCCTCATTTTTGTTACTGACTTTATTATTACAATGTAGTTTTATCTCATTATTACCCGAAAGTATTGAATCTGAATCAAGTCCATCATTGGTTTGTGTATCTTGAGAAAATGTTTAGTTAATATTGTAATATTATTAATGACTTATATTACCTCTTTCTACTATAGCACCATCGACTATATAAAAGTTCTCCATCATAAAAATATGTACAATTATATTTATTTGTGTATATAATTTACGTTACATTAAATCGACATTCTTCTCATAAAATTTATTAGTGCTAAATATTATCTGTCAGCACTGCCAGTACAAACATTTTTGTATGACATTTTATTAAGCGGCTATTACACATTTTTATTTGCCTAACAAATTAGTTTAATTAATTAAAATGCAATTATATTCCGCACTGTAAATAATTTGTTATCAAATTATGTATACATTGCGTCTAATGCAATGCAGAGACGCAATGCACAAATAGGCATTTCGCATTTTTTATTATTCAAAATGTAATTTACTTAGTGATGTGTGTTTCAGTTCTTACAGGGTTGTTTTTTCTGTTAGTATTTGGTACTAAATGTTTTAATATTTAATAATTATATAAATTATTATCTTGAGCACTTTTACTCTTTATTAACTGGTTTCTTCATTATCTCTCTCTACACCATGACTGGATTGTTGTTTATCACTTCATCACACTAAGCAATAACTGACGTCAGATCTACATAACTCTTCGAGTGATCTGTAACCATTCTGAGAATCGATAACGTGGAGTTGGTAATCCTGTCAGTTTTCCTAAATAGTTTCAGTACTCTATCCTTTATGTATTTTTTTAAACGTAACAATTTTGATGTGCCGGAGGAGTTTTCTCAGGGCCTGGCTTTGTGCAATTTTTAGCTGGCGAATAGTAATGTTTGAGACCTTGCTATACAGCCATATGGAAGTGACGTTCGAATTGTTTAGTTATATATGAGGTTCCTGTTCTTAGCATTGAGATTTTCATTTTTGTATAGCATTTGAAGGTGATGAAGAATTTTGGCACAGTTAATTCTTTTTAGTTGAACATGTTTGATGCCTAGATATTTATTGTTATCCACCCAGTTTATTACATGTTCTCAGTGAACATTTACAATAAAATCATTTTGGAATTTGGCTGCACTAAAACTTAGAAGTAAAAATTTTTGCGAGTAAAACATTACTTTGAAAATTTTAAGAGAATTGTTGTTGCTTCGCATGTCTTCTAATTCAGTTTAATTAATTTAAGTGTTTATAATTTTTATATTATATATTGTACACAACACAACAAAAAACACTTGTCAAAAACCAGTATATGACATATTTTAAAAGTGCTGCCAATTTGTTTCAACCAATTCGTTATTATGCTGTTTAGGGTTTTATTGTGTATATAAAAAAAAATGCATTTTATTTGTCATGATCATTTGTCAACTTGACAATTTATTAAAAAAAGAGGGTTTTATTAATACTCAGAATACTAAAATATAAATTGTACTAAAACATATGATATTATACCAACGCAAAATTATACTAGCGCTCGTATAATTATGATTGAAGAATGATATTATTTAAGTTAATATAATAAATTAAACTAACATAAAAGGCATTATTCTTGTAGAGTTTTGAAAGATTTTTCAAATGGTATACTCCAATTTGATATCTGGATTGTATTTTTCAAATTATAAAGAAAATAATTGAAAAAAATGACTTTTTTTGAAAAAATTTATTTTTAGAAAATTATAGATATGGGTCAATATAGCACGCAAATATGTCTAATAGAGAATTAATCAAGCTATCAATAGCAAAAAAAAAACATAAAAATGGAATAGAATAATTTTAAGAAATTTGAAATCAAAGTTAAACTTCTAAACTCTAAAACTTGTAAATACAACCCTGTGTTTTCCAGTAACGTTGCTAACTTGGCACTTGCTGATATTGTTAAGACCGGCAAAGCAATTAACTATTAAAACATTGATGTAAAAATAGATAAATATCAGCAACTATGATGCATACCTACGGAATGGATTTCTTGGAGCTCTAGATGTCAAGTTAAAATCGTAATTGTGTTGTGCAGAAAAGGAGTGTTATATGCAGAACTCAATAAGAACGCGAAGTGCAAATACTATTAAATAAACAGTTTAAAAATACATGTATTTGGAAATAATTACACAACGATCCTGTCGATCTACATCAACAGCATTTATTAAAAATACATTATAGTATATAAAATTACTAAATAAGCCTTTCGGTTTGATGAATGTCCGTATGGCGGCATTACAAATGCTTGAAGACGACTATTGAAGCTTCAAATAAAAATCACTGTTAGTAAATAAGTATACAAAATGCAGTTTAATTATTTAAGAAATGCGTTATTTATGTTTATATTAATATGCTCTTTTCTGCATTTTAGATAGTTTTTTCTGATGTTTTTTCTAGAAACTAAATGTCAAGTGATGTAAATACACTACTATCACACCATCAGCGCCAAGAATAAAAGGGAACTTTTGCGCCAATATCATTAATGGCAGAAAGACCCTTATCAATGTTTTTATTGCGGATATTGTTAAAAAGGCATTGTCAACGGTATTTTTTTTTCTATTCTAAATTAACAGTAGCGATAAATCTATGGATAAGGGAAGATGTACGGCAATCGCTTCAAATCTATGTGGTGAATAAAGCGTATTATTAGTTTACATACATTTCTGTATGATCAGTATCGAAAAATCTATTGATGAAGGTGGATGCATGCGCATTCGTTGTTAGATTTATATGAGTTTTTTAAGCAAAAATATTTTTATATAAAATTTAATAAAAAAGCATTTTATGAATATTGAAAAATTTAATTTTAATTTATAATTATAAAATATGTTTTTAAATAAATTAAAATGTATTAAAGTATTTAAAAATATCAGTTAAGTTTGATTGAAATAAATACTAGTTGTTTACGTAACTAATTATTGTTATGAAATGTAGTAGACTTAACTATTTATTTCGAATGAAAGTCAGAATATCATCTGTTGAGGACCTGCTAATGTTAGAAGAGGTCTTACTGAAGATGTATTTTTTATTTAAAATACATTTATATAATACGCAACATGCACTAATGATTAAACTTACATATTTCATTCTATTACGAAAACGGTATATATATAGAATTGTGGATTACCTGCAATCTATTCAACCTAATAACACTACTCAATGCTATAAAGTTCAATAGATCTTTGGATACATCTCGTTGAAGTGGCTAGGTTTCTCTACCTTGGGCGAAGTTAGCTTCAATTAAAATTCCACCCATTCTTAATGCACTATTGTTCGCAAACAATCCTCTCTATTTTCACACTTTCTTTATCCAACCATATCCTTACCTATGCATTCGTATTTGTAATTTCTTTCATATTATCTGATATATAGATCTCCGCGGGTTATTATTAAATGCTTGATTAAATGCCATGCTTTGTGATTACTTAGGTCATATTTTCATGTGTCTCTCTCTCAGTGCACTACTATATACAGCATTTCTTCCGGTGAACAAAAGTATACATACATAGTGCCTGCGGATATTTTTTAAAAAGATTAATGCTCGATTAAACTACCAATCTAACATTTATATTTATCAATCGGGTAGTTGTGACCCAAAAAACATCAGAGGAGTTAGATAGGCTTCGCTCTCTCCTATAGAGGACACTTTATCTAAACGTATAGCTTCAATTGGTACTGGCAATGGAGCGTTTATTGTGGTGCCTTACGAAACGTGTGTTAAGATCACTCTTCCCGGCAGGTAAATAGATTAAAAACACGACCGTGTTACTGTTTAATGTATTCTATACAATTGAACCACAATAGGAGTAGTAAACGACTGTGGTTTAATTATGCCTTTATGAGTACACCAATTCGCTTCATACTATTAGTAGTGGATTTGCTTATATGTTTAATTGTAGAATAGGTTAAATTAGACCGATTATATCATTTAACTTAGATGTATGATTGAGTAAACAATGATTTAAGTTTAAATTTGTTTTCTACAAAAATAAAAATAAAAATTGTTGTTTTGTATTTAATATTTGTTAGAAATTGAATTATTAATAAAATTTGAAATAAAAATTTTTTGCATGATTTAAACAAAAATATAAATTTACAATACATAGTAATTAGGCTTTACTTTTCTAATAATAAATCAAGATGGCGTATTATGAGTTTGATGCATATGATGAGATGACAGCAAAATCCTTAAATAAATCTATAGAAAGACCTCCTACTTTTTTAGAGTTACCCAACGAACTACTTTTAGAATCGGTTAGTACCGTGAATGTTTGGCATTACGATCGTATACGACGTACCTCGACACGATTAAGTAATATCGTCGACACAGTGCTTTGGGACCAATATACAAATTTTTTAAGAATTACACGTGGAACTGTAACTAGTATGCGTAAGAAAATCGCTGTTGAAATTTTACACCAATCAATAGATATATTAATTCGAGCCGGATATCTGCCTTCATTTTCTGGTACTATACTTCATCACTGGCGTGCCCATCAGAGTGATACTTATTTACCTTTGGATATTAAACCACAGGAAGTTGAGATAATTCTAAAAAGGTATTACTTACAAATCATTCGTCTAGATAATCCGAGTGACGACCATATGGCTGCTATATTATTTGGATTGACTTGGTTAAATCAAGTGAAGTTATTTAAAAATAAAAAGATCATTAGTAATATTATTTCCGATAACAAATGGTGTTGCTCTGTTGAAGTTGAAGGTGTTTTTATTGGAAAATCTAAACAAGACAAAGGTGAACCGAGCTTTGCTGCAATTGGCGTCGCTATTGCAGTAGTATTGATAGCATCTATAGCTGGTTATTCAACTAAGAGATTATTCGAATGTGAAGATGTACTTTATTTATGCGGTCACAATATGGCTCCGCAACGTTCACGTCCACCCAAAATCACCTTCGTTTTTAAAGTTTCCGCATCTAATAGTATTTGCAAATATTTCTCTTGCTTTTTTTCTGGAGATTTGGAGATTTTGGGAACACTTCCAAAGGAATTACTAAATGATCCATTCACATTTAGTTTCGCATTATATTGTCCCGAAAGTTGTAAATTGGGCTTTAGTCAAAACATGAACGTTGTATGTAAGGTAAGAAATTATATATCGTTTATATCGTCAAATGACAAAAACATTTTATTTAAAATGTGTAAGTATACGAAATATAGAATATATATTTAGTATGTCTTTCCAAATTCAAATCTTCGACAATTCTAATTCACTTGTAATCCGGACAAAATAAGAAACTTCAAAATTGTATTATATACCATATAGTTCAGATCAACCACTGATTCGTTAATCCAAATCATCTGATATAGACACGTCTGTTCGTTAGTCTAGTGAATAAATAAAATAAATCACATTTATAGGTTATGTGCATACACATGTATGGGTCAGTCTTTTACAAGCGGAAGGGTTTTTGAACTCATTTCCTTAGATATTGTTGACAGTTTTTTATACGCATTTTTTTTAATATCTATTTTTTTTCATATCTATTTTAATTTACTTTATTAAAAATTTCAATTTAAAATTTTTTCAGCACAAGCCAACGGTTCCACAATATATTAAGGATATGGATTGCAGTGAGAATGTTTTTTAGCTGAATTTTTATTGTTAACTAAATCAATGGAAAAAACGAAAGCCAACTTAAAAACAAAAATTTGTCGTGAAAAACACTTCAAGTAATTTTTAGATAATCTATAAATATTTTTTAAAGAAATTATAAGTTATATTTCAAAATGTCGTTTGTTGTTAATTATGGTAAAAAAGGATACATGAGTACATATTTTTATTTTTTGCACAAAGATTACCACATGATCTCAAGATATAATATTATTTTGCACCACATTGCAAATACTATTAAGAAAATGGATAGTTCACTGCGACCTAAAAGATCTATTCTGCCCCCTAGTCGGATTAGAGTGTTTTTCCAAGTCCGATTTCTTTAATGAAAGAAAGATAGAGCCTATCTTTCTTAGTCTTGAATCTTTATGATTCATGAAATACCCTCCTAGGTGTTTCTTCCGCTTGTGCATCAGTGCTGGGCACTCCCCAAGCACGTGGTATGCAGTTTCTTTCTTTTCGCTACAGTATCTACAGTCTGAGTTAGATTGCGTTCCTAACTTCATTAAGTGGTTATGCAATCTACATGGACCGATCAAAAATCCCGTAACAATTCTTAGGTTATTTTTTGATTTGATCTGAAGACAAAAAAATTTGATACCAATATTACAAATAGTTTATGAGATTTACTCATTTGATTAATATCGTATACACCCAGGTGTGTACATATAAGTTAGGTTAACCGGGTTGCTCGTAATATCGTGGTCGAGAACTTAAATGTAAGCCCGTAATAACAGACATAATCTCTATGTAGTTTTTATTGTAAGCATTTTTGCACATTGAAGTGAAACAATTTCAGAAACAGAAAAATAGTTTTTTAAAAAACATTTTTAATACGTTTCCAGACCTTAGCAGATTTGATTCCAAACTTTTTACGTTATGATTTTGGTACATATGCATCGCGCTATCATAGCGGTCGCAATATACAATTGGAATATACGTATTTTTCTGCTCTAAATATTGTAGTACAGCACAACCAGCTGGTTCCAACACAAAGGGGAACCAGTTCTCCCCTTTAACTAATGTCCAACACATTCGGGTGAGTACAAAAAGCATATATTTTTTATATTTTATAATCTGAAGAAGATAAACACTAAGACTAATATTAACACGAAGACGAAAACAAAGACTAAGACTAAGATTAAGACTAAGATTATGTCTATGAAAATGACTTATATTAAGACTAAAACTAGGACTAAGACTAGGACAAAGACAAAGACTAAGGCTAAGACTAAAACTAAGACTAAGACCATAGTCCTAGTTTAAGACGTTAGGACCAGGACTAGGACCAGGACCAGGACCAGGGCCAGGACCAGGACTAAGACTAAGACTAAGACTCAGACTTACGCTAAGACACTGAAATCTTACTTTTTCGATAAAGTTTCAACATTCACAGGGGTGGAAAAGCGACAGTAATAACAAAAAGTTCAACAAAAATTTTGGTGCCAAATAAAGTGGGCATATAAAAACATCGAGAGCTTCAAAAGCTAACGAAATTCCTATGGTATCTAAACTTTTAAAAATTGGTTCAAATCTGACTTTCGTTATTGGGTCAAAATTATTTATTGTGCTCAACATTTTACGTTTTTAACTAAAACACAAAATCACGATTTTATAATATTTTTAAATGTACAATCTTTATTTATTTTACGACTAGATCCAAAGAAGTTTTTAATATAAACAATTAAAAAATAAAAATATATTAAATAATTAAAAAATATATCAAATATATAATTAAGGTTTACATATGTATATAGTTATATATAATGTGATTCTAATGAAAGCTGCTCATATTTTTAAGCTACAGCCTTACATAGCTCTCTGGACTATGAATATTGAGCTCGAATAGATTGAAACAGGAGCTGTTTTTAAGTTTAAAGATATATCAATTTACATATAAACCTATACATATATTCATGTATTTATATTTACATATAAACATATATACATATTTATATGTATCTACAAATATATAAATATTTATATATATATATTCACATGTAAGTTTATATATATATATATATATATATATTAGTTGTTTGTTGATTTAATCATTAAAAATAAATAAAAATACTTTAAGTTTTTATTTATCTTTTTAAAATATTAAAAAATAATTAAGAAAATAAAATCGAAAAAAAAATATTTACATCAGACATTTTCAATACTTTTTGTTCTTCATTTTGTTTTGTAAATAATGTATGTTCTTTTTTGCTGGATTATATAAATCAAAATATAATAATATATATGTGTAAGTGCAAAATGAAAAAAAAAAATTATTTTAAACTTATTGTTAAATAATAGATATTAAATAATCATTAGGAAGTTACAATAGTTCTAGTTTCAATGCTATATATAATTAAGAATACTACACTGAAAATATGTGCTCTGTAAGTTGATTTTTTGTTAAACATACACATAAATTCATTTATTAATTTTTCATAATTTTTTCTGTTAATTAATTAATGATAATTACATTCCAAAATTCTAACAATTTTTTTTTTTAATTTTCATTTTATGCTGATATATATAAGAAAGACATTTAAAAACAAACTAAGTTAACTTGAGTACATATTTTATATGATTTCTAATACATAATATTTGTTCGAAGCCAAGAGGTTTATTCGCAATCGTCGTAATTAAAAGCCTTAAGAACATTCCGGTGAGGTGCTCCATTTATGCAGGATTTTATTTATTTCTTTTTGCCAAGTGTGTCACGCCATTCATTGTACTTGTCCATTTCTTCATGTAATTGCAATGCCTCAATACAAGCATTAAAGAAAGGTGACCCGAAACAGTCTTGCCTATTAGAAAAAACAAAAAAAAAATATATAATTAATTCAATTGTTATTATGAAAAAATATTAAATTCAAATTTCAAAAATTCAAAAATTTCAAAAAATTTTAAGTTAATAATTATAGTAATATTATATAAAAAATTTTATATTAATATTTAAAAATCTTGGTTTAACTTCAAAATTAATTATATAAGTCCAAACCATCAAAATGAGGATATCTGTTTAAAAACAGTTCCATATATATTAATGTATATCTATTATAATAGATAAAATTAAATTTAATGAAAAATGTTATTAAAAAACACAACAAAAGCGTGTTCCCATGAAGGGCTTCCATATTTTATAAACCATTATTAAGGGATAAATATAATAAATAATATATATGTATATATACATACAAACTATAATACTTTCAATAGTTCATAGAAAATATATATCAAAAATAGGACGAAGGGTCTAGTAGTCCAGTTTCGTATTCTCAGTTAACTTTAAGATTAATTTTAGTGTGTTAACTCACAAATAAATAAATAAATAAATAAATAATTATATTAAAAATATTTTAACAGTACCTTTAAAAAGTTTAGGTATAATTGTAATTATTACAAAAATTTTGGAACATTATGTCAATATCGACTAAGAGTATATAAAAAAATATATGCAATATATATATACTATAAACTATATAAACAGAAAAATATTAAAACCTCCGACTCTTTTTTAAAACCTGCAAAACCCATCACAGATGAAAATATATAAAAATTACAGTCATAGGTCGAAAAAAATAAATAAATAAATAAAAATGTATATATTCGGTTACAGTAACCATTATTATTTTAAAAAGATCAAGCTTAAAATATTTTTTTTTACAAATATTAATTAATATATAAATTACTTTTTATTTTATTTATTTTTAATTTTTTATTTTGAAATAAAATTTTCTTTAATGCTTTCTATTTATCCTCGGTTTCAATAGAAGAAAAGTAATTGCATATAGGTTTAGTCAAAAGAAAAGCATGAAAATTTTTTATATATTATAACTATATATAAAAAAAAAATTGTATATATTCTAATATTTGTGACAAAATATATATATGGTATATTTATTTATAATTGAAACCTCGCCCGATTAGCTCAACATTACGACAGATTACTATAGACGTTTTTATTTTTTCCACTTTTACTAGGAATCGTGGATTCAATGGGGCTTAAAGGAATTCAAAGAAGTTTGACATCCAATTTTATTCAATTTATTTGACAGCTTACTTAGGGTAAATATGTTTTAATAGATATGTATGCAAATCATTGATTAGAGATATTATAAGTGTGAATCAATAATATAGTATTTGAAAATTAATTTATTTAAAAATTGATATTCTTTAAAATAAATATGATATATGTTTGTTACAAGAAATATCACATAATATTCTATATGATATATATATATATATATATAATAATATTTATATAATTTTATAATATAATATAATATAGTGCAGTGTATAGAGAGTGCAGAAGTTGTGGAAAGAACTGCTATAGAACTATTATAGAAGAAAAAAACAATCTAGCCACCTTTGGCTACCAAGAGAAATAGGTTTTTAGGGAAATATTTGTTTAACAATTTGCCGGACTGTACATTGAATGAAGATAGAATGAACATAGAATGAAGAACTGTTCAACTATTTAAAGTCAACGGAACGGATCGTGTTTTTATCTCTTAGTTTTTTGGAAGGAGTGTGGTATTAAAATAGCGGAAAATCATTAATTATACCCAGATGTCTGCTGTCCTGTCAGTACAATTAACTAATTAGCTCTTCTAATTAGTCATATAGAGTGTTAGTTAACCTAATTTATTTATTATTTATTTATTTATTAAACTTCTACGTATTCCGACATTCAAAGAAGAAATATCTCGAATTATAAAGAACTATTGCTCATCGCATATATATGTAACCCAACCCACTAGTTACATATCTACTGTCCTCTTTCAACAATTTTAGAAGAAAAACTTTGGGAGACGTCTTAGATATGTGTGACCTACACAAATTTTTTTTTTTTGAGTATATATGGATATGTCACTGAGCATATATAGTCCATACACGCCTGTCTTTTTTTAACTCGTAGTAAATATTAATTATTGTCATTCATACTGGATAGATTGTAACCATTTATGGTTTCATAAAATAAAAAAAATAATATTTAAACAAAAATTTTAAATATACAATAATTAAAAATTGGTTTATAAATGTTATATAAAAAATAAACACGCTTAATTAAAAAAAAATTTGTTTTAGTAAAAAATTTTTTCTATATAAATTAATTTTTCACAAAAAAAATATATAAAAATTTGTGTGCAAAAATTTTTAAGATCGAAACTCTTTAAACGGTTTCGATGTTAACTATAATTATTTTATAGTTTTATATATTATACAACTAATTTTTTTAATTTATTTTTTCTATATACGTTTATCTATATACAGTTCTTAAGCGACTTTAATAAAGATAGGTAAGTGAAAGATATGGGCTTAAGTCAACTGTATTAAATAATTTATGTATCAAAAATCAAAAAATATTTAATTTAAGAAAAAAACAAAACTAATTTAATTAATTAAAAATTAAATAAAAAAACGTACCAATTAAATAAAAACTTGATATCCTTGAAAAATAAATAAGAAATGTAGGCGTTATATATGTTGATGCACTTTATTGGTCCTTTGAGTTGGTTAAAGCTGCTGCCAGTTTATAATTTATATGATATATGTATATAAAATATTTATGATAAATATATGTATAAACATTTCAATTATAGCTGCTCTGCATTAAATAGTCGTTGTGGTTGTAGTGAAAATAATATTTTTTATATATTTAAGTATATATATAATATTTATTTTGAGTTGTAGTGTTTATATAAATTATGCGGGGACTATCACAATATTTTCAGTATATTTGCCAGCAAATTTTCCTTCATTTTTGTCGTTTATGTATATATATATATATATATGTCGTATATATAGTTTTAACATTTTAATAATCATTAGCTGCCTTATACATTTTAAATGTATATACAATTTTTTTAAATTTTTTTTTTGTGTATTTTTCACAAATTGCAAGTGTTTCTTTTTATAAATATAATAAGTTAAAAATATAAATACAATCTTTAGTAATGTTGTATATTTATATATATATATAAAGTTCCTATTACGTATATAAGTTGTTTAAAAACAATTTTAAAATGTTTTGCTTCTATTTTAATAAATACAAAATTCAATACTTTATCTTTTTATTAATACCCGAGCAACTAAAAGTTGTTTTAAATAAAATAATATTTTATACAAATGAAAAATATTTTTTAATCAAAAATATTTGAAGAAATTAAGCAAATTATATATATTCTTTTATAAAATAATTAAACTTAAAAATATGCGCTGCTAATTACACTTCATTATATATGCTAAATTATTATTCAGAAAAACCAAAATTATCAAAGTAGACCTATTTTGATATACATTTGTTTTTGTAGTGATAATATTAATTATTTCATGTAAAAAATTTAATACGAAATTAGTATTAAAATTTAACTTCATTTAAAATAAAATTTAATTAAGCATAAATTGAAATTAAATTAAATTTATGTATTATATTTCCTTTTATTTTATAATTTTATAAAGTGTTAATAAAAATTTTAAGGGGCTCAATATACAATAGAAAAGTCAATATTTAAGTTATAACCAAAATAGGACGATTAATGGTTTGTTTATATATTGCAGCGATATATTTTAATTTTATTAAATAATAATTACAATTAAAAACTTATTTATTTTAATATAAAAAGTAAAAAAGTTTATAGTAACAAATTCTGTTCTCTTAACCAATTAAGCATTAAAATAAATAATATTAATTAAATTTGTATGTTTATATATATATACATATATTGATATATGTATAGTGTTAAAATAAATAAAATATTTGTACAAAAGAAATTAAAATTTAAAATTATTAAATACAGTTATAAAATAAATAAGTACGATTTTAATTGTAAATAATTTAAAAACAATAATTTAATTAAGAAAATAACTAAAATTATATAAAACAATTTTATACATTTAATAAGAATGGAGAACCATTAATAACTTTTATGAAATGTTGCAATTGCGATATTTCTTCAGATGGTATAAAAAGTACTTTTAAACATTCTCCAAACCATTTTGAATCAAAGCACTCTTTCCTAGAAATGAAATAAAAATAAAATAAGGATTAAAAAATGACGAAAAAATAAAAAAAAATATGTCGAAACTATATTGAAATATAATTAAAAAAAATAAAATAGTAAATAATATATATAATATAAAAATGTATAAATATTTTTAAGATAATAATAAAATCATATAATTAAAATTTTAAATAAAATAGTGTAAAAATATTTATGAAATAATTATGAAATATAAATAATATAATCAATATATATAAGTGTATATAAATTTAAACTAAGTAAAAATTCATTTTGTTGCTATAGAATTTTGAACTCTATTTTCTGGTAAATTCGAAGGGTATTGGTGATCCATTAATCACTCGTATAAAATATTGTAGTTGAGTGATTTCCTCTTCAGGTATTAACAGAACTTTTAGACAATCTCCAAACGTTTCGTGAGTAAAACAATTGTGCCTGTTTTAAAATTTTGATGTGATTTAAAATATAAACATATAAGTATTTTAAATAATTTCTAAAACCATGCAATATTTAGAAAACTTCAATTATCAATTATCAGCTTATATTTAAGAAATAATATAATTAAACAATTTTGTAACTAATGTAAATAAGTATAAGTTTATAAATAAAGTTCATATAAAATATTCATTAATAATAATTCTAATTTTGTTTATATATATAAATCTTGTGAATCAAGCTTTTAATTTAATTTATTTTAACATAATATAACTAATATTATTAAATTTTTATTAAATTGATTTTGTTTCACTTTATTATATTTTATAATTATATTTGTTTTATTGTTTTTTAGTTTTTATACATGAATTTCCTTGACATAAATATCTAAAATATTTAATTAATATATAGAATTAAGTTATTTTATAATAGTTTAGTAAATAAGAAATTGAATTATTTTTTTATATTTAATTATTTTCTATTTTTTAATATATACAAATAATTTTCTTCCAATAAATAAATTATATTTTAAAAAGTTACACACATAAGTTATTTTAAATTGGTTTAGTAAAATTTATATTAATTTTTTTTTAAAGAGGTTTTTTCGAACAGTAGTGAACTACAACAACAAAAATTTATTTCTATATTATTTTAATTAATTGAATTTTTGACTGACCATTCAGCTGTTTCGAGTATTGCCAAATACCATCATCAGTGGTCTTGGAAATAATTCTTGTATTTAATTATTCGTAAATAATTATTTTTGAGACTGCAAGTACCAGGAATCGAATTCGGGTCCTGCCAAATGTGAAGCTCAGAGTCAGCGCACCTTAACCAACTGATCCAAAGCCGTACTTGACTTTTTATGTTCGCTAATTTTTCTGGAGTTTTGTTATTTTGCTATGAAAGTTTTATTAACAAATTGAATTACTTTTTTTTTAATATGTTATTACAAATATATATATATGTAATTATATGTAATTATTTTGATTTGTTTAATTTTTTTATATTAGTTTTTTTTTATATTATTTTATTTTATTTAATTTTTTATTATTTTTTTTATTTTTTTTTAAATTTTTATATATTAATTTCCTTCAGATAAATAAATTATATTTTATTTTTATGTTATTTTATTTTAGTTTACTAAATTACATGTTAAATTAATTTTTTAATATGTAATTATATTTTAATATTTCTAGTTTTTATACATTATTTTTCTTCAGACAAATAAGTGAGTTTTTGATAAATTCATGAAGATAAGATTTGCCGAAAAGAGTAGTTCAGAAGTAGTTCCTCAAAAAACCAGTAATTTATAATCGTTATTAAAAATCATATTAAAATTTTTTTATAAAAGGTATAATTAATGTATGTTATTCATTGTTTAAGTAATTTTATTATATTTTATTTTTTTATTATTTTTTATTTTATACTATTTTTATTTAAATCCACTTAGGCCTAATGGCCCATTGCGCTATCATATATTATTTGATTTATTTTGTATTATTTTTTTTTAAGTTTATTTTGTGTATGTTATGATTATCTTATTCCATTTATTTTTATTTTATTTTAATAATTTATTTTTTGTTACGTTTCTGAGTTTTGTGAACATCATTGATTACTATTACCGGTTGAATTATTTAGTAATATGTGTCGGTTCTGATATTTTGTATATTCCGATTAGTCCACAAAATTTGAACGAACTTAATTACTTCAAGGAAGTAGTTTATTAATTTTTTTTTTATATTTTTATATAAAATTCTTTTTTATATAAATTTAGTTTGTTTCATTTATATTTCTATTTATTTTTAAATTATATATGTCGATTAAGTATGTTCCATATTAATTTATTAATATATCTTAAATAGTTATAAATATAAGCTACTTAGAATATAATTATTTTATTTAAAATGAACATTTATAATACAATGTTTACTTAAATTTATTTCAAAAGAACCTATAACGTGATTATTTAATTAATTACTTTATCATTATCACATCCGATAAGAGAAGTTAATTGTAGGTCTAGTATAATGTTGAGATACTTACTTGCATAATCGATGTATGGTCGTTTCGCGGAAAAGTTGGTAACAATCTTCGCAAATACGATCCAAACGGAAAAACATTGTTTTATTGAAGATACCCTTGCATTCCAAATCGAAGAAATTACTTCTTTTGGCTAAATTGTGGTTGTTATGTGGCAAGGCTGTGATAAGTGGTATCAAAACAAGAAACAGCACCAGCGAGATCTTTATGTTGCGGGAACACATCTGAAATCGAAAAAAAATATATATTTATACTAAATGTTATAAATAATATAAAAATGGTTTATTATATGGAATATATTGTATTGTACTTTTATATATGTATACCATATTATTAGAAATGAATATCGACTAGATATTTTCTAAGGAAAGGGGAAATAATATTAGTTAGCTTATAAAGTTTAAAATATCGCTTGTCGGTGTGTTGATGAGGTTTTAAACTTTTGATAAGTCATCGAGACATACTTATAAATACATAGATATTTAGTTGACAACTACTATAAGTAAAATAAACTGATTTCTTATTAGTATCCTGAGAATGGCTATTGACAGTAGCGAAAATATTGATTTAATAGATAACACGAAGAAATAATAAAAATTGCTCTTTTTAATAAAAAATTTGATCTAAAATCGCACTAGTGCTTCTAGTCGCAAAATAGCTTCTAAACAGTACGGGGGTATTTCATTATCGACTCCTTTGTTTTTAGTTATCTTACTACTAAGATAGTAGAATTCTTTAATATCGTTAATTATAGCTAACTGATTATCATTAACTATTGCGTTTAACAGCTAACTGGTTATCAGTAGCTATAGTTTGGGGTTGGTTGTTTGTTGTTGCACTATGCATCGGCCTTTGCTTAGGTTTCTCCGGATACCGACAGTTTCAGCATTTACAGAGGGATATAAAAGCTTCGTTCTGGCTCTTATCAACAATTATAGTTAAGGATTGGCTGTTCAGAGTCGCAATATGCATTATTTTTTTATGCACATATTCATATAGATGTGTGAGATCTCTCAAGTTATTCATATAGTCTGAATAATTTTGTCGAAAAATCTATATCCGTAATAACTCAAGTTGTTCAATATTGGACTTTCGGGTTGCGTTTCCATCGAAACAGACTTCATCATATGTCCAAATTCGTGATCAAATGTTAGTGCCACACAATTACCTTTTCAATAAACCCTTTTTTTATGGATATAACAACGATTTTGATTTTATTTCACTTTAAAAATCAGGCCTCTGGAAAAATAGTATCTACATATGTTATGTATTTAATATATATTTTAAATACACGTTATCATATATATTGTACAGTATATATATATATATATAATATATATTATATAATGCAATTATTTTTATAATAATTTCTAATCTGGCTGATTGGACATTTAATTAAAAACTATAATTTATTATTTATTTATTATTATATATTTATTAATAATTATATTATTATTACGTTTACTATAAATGTTCAAATATTTTTAAAAGAAATTTACTTTTAATAAATTTATAATTATTTTAATATTTTTAATAACTTTGCAAACTTTACTGATTTTGATCATCCTAGTTTTTGAAGGCTGCCTACTTTGCTTTCTCAGAATTGGGTAAATAGATATGGGCCAAGTTGAACCTTGAATAGTGTTTTTAATTTTATTTTTTACTTTGCTTTATTTAAGATATTTTCCACAACATGATGATCGTGTGCGGCCCAGTCTACGTTGAAGTAGTCAAGCGTTGCGTACATTTTAAAATAGCATAAATCATGTGCTTACATCAGATACGGACAGATATATGTGCTGCATGAAATTCTATAAATACATGTTTACATATATATATTTATATATATATATATATATATATATAATGCAATTATTTATGCTAAGCTTTGCATTACGAGCGTCCGAAACTACTACTGCAATATAAGTATGAATAAAACTAAAAATAAATGAAAAAAAAATATCAGATAAATGGACACAACTATTGCAACATTAATCCATTGAGTAGACTGCCAGACGATTATATCTGAAAGGAGCTATTTATAGTGTATATAAATTTAACTTCAGACATAACTATTTTTAGATATAATTCGTACGGCGCAGAAAAGTTGTCAGTTTTATAAATACGGGTACATAGGAAATCATGCATTTTTCATATGTTGGAAGCCAATTTCTTTCTGAATTGAACTTATTTTTTTAAGTGTATTAGTTATAGTAAAATACGAACTTTTATATAAACATAATCTTCTTAGAGTAAAACACCTGCTTTATTTTTTGTAATAGTCTTAAAATAGCAATAAATTATCATCACAGACTACCTACCGCTGTATCGCAATTAGCATGAGTGTAGTTTACTACTGGGTTATCACGAACGAACTCAGTGCAGCACAGCGTACTTTGTACTTGAATGAATTAAAATTTTATAATGAATTAAATAGTACAATGTTTTTTTTTATTATTTTCATTAGAAACTAATCATGCAAGTTTATTTATTTAATGAATGTAATTAATATTTTTGCTACTAATTGCATATTAATCTTTACATATCTAATGCGCAATTTGAGTTGAACTAATATTTAACAGACAAGCCCCCCTTTGAGCTACTTCCCCAACTAAACTGTTAAATAGTTTAATTAAAACATCAACTGTTTTTAATATATGAAAATAATATTGTTTTTATGTAATATTATATAACAAAAAAAAAATTAATGGTTGTCTATTGTATGTAAGGTAATGTAAATAAAAAACTGTAACTCATTTGCTTACAACATTTATATTAGAATATTAATAATATATAAAATATTATATAAATATTATATAAAAATTATATAAAAATATTATATATTATATATAATATTATATAAAAAAAATTATATAAAAAAACAAAAAAATAAATGCAAGGTATCTCAAATAAGAATATATTTTTTAAATTTATTTTTCGACTTCGTAAATAAAAAACTATAACTCATTTGCTTATAAGATTTATTTTAGAATATTAATAATATATAAAATAATATAATATTATATAAATATTATATAAAAATATTATATATATTATATAAAAAAAAATTCTATAAAAAAAAACAAAAAACTAATATATTTTTTAAATTTATTTTTCGACATCGTAAATAAAAAACTATAATTCATTTGCTTACAACATTTATATTAGAATATTAATAATATATAAAATAATATAATATTATATAAATATTATATAAAAAATTATATATGTTATATATAATATTATATAAAAAAAAATAATATAAAACAAAAAATATATGGTTGTCTATTGTATCTATTGTATGTAAGGTATCTCAAATAAGAATATATTTTTTAAATTTATTTTTCGACATCGTAAATAAAAAACTATAATTCATTTGCTTACAACATTTATATTAGAATATTAATAATATATAAAATAATATAATATTATATAAATATTATATAAAAAATTATATATGTTATATATAATATTATATAAAAAAAAATAATATAAAACAAAAAATATATGGTTGTCTATTGTATCTATTGTATGTAAGGTATCTCAAATAAGAATATATTTTTTAAATTTATTTTTCGACATCGTAAATAAAAAACTATAATTCATTTGCTTACAACATTTATATTAGAAAAAAAAATTGTCAATGAAATTTAGCAGACACACTGACGCTTAGAATTACAAAACTAAAAGATACTCAGCGTATTTCTATAGCGTCAAACATTTGTAATGTATTAAGGCTTCATCTCTCCCATTGTGGAAGCACAGTATAATAAAGTAATTCTATTGTTTTTTTTTTCATTTGCAAAATTTATATAATATTTTGTATATCTTTTATTTGTTTATTTTAATGAATTTTTATTAACTTGTTGATGTGTTCAATTAAGACGAAAATATTTTAATTAGAATTTGTTTTCTTGCCAACACTCACAGATTCTATGCTTTCCGAATTTTGGTCAATAATTAAATCAAGAAAAAAAAAACAGAACACATCATATATGCACATTATCTGATTGTACTTAGAACAAATTTTTATGTTCTCAAATTGTTTGCGTGATTTTACATATAAAATTATTGGAATTAATTAAAATGTAGAAGAATTTATTTATCAAAAATATGAAAATATTTTTCCGCTTAAAAAAATGTTACTGTATATACAAATTAATTTTGCGCTACTTACTCCGCATATGCATTTAATGGTTTTTAGATTATATTTATATAATCTATAATAATAACAGACTGCCTTGACAAGCTAAATCTGCTTGGCGAATCAAATTAGGTGTCATTTCTTTGGGTACCGGGACATACTGGCATATGCGTAAACGAATACGCAGACAAACTAGCCAGGAAAAGAGTAGCCATACCGATGATGGGGCCGGAACCTTTTTGTGGACTAGAACATAGTACGCTCCTTTTTCTAATAAAAATAAAGGTGAATCAAAATAAAAAGGATTACTGGGATAATATACCAGGATTAAAACAATTCAAATCACTTATTGTTATTTATAACAATAAGGGATACCAGGATTGTATGAACCTATCAAAAAAAAAACTTAGAATTATCACAGGAATCTTAACAGGGCACTGTAAACTAAAATGACACGTTACAAAAATGTGAAGAGAATTATGGGTTGGCCATACACGTGCTGTTAGAATGCCCTGCGCTAATAAACATACGGCATAGGCTCCTGAGAATGTATATTCTTACGGAAGCGGAAATAAAACTCTGTAATGTAGGCTCTATATTACTTTTTATTAACGCAACAGGGCTTAGAGACCTATTCCAACCCCAGACGAGGGCGCAATAGACCCGACGGTCGCAGTGCCACATCGCCTAACAATAATAATAATAACTATAATTAATAAATAATTACAGATTATTATTCTATCTATAATTATTAGATTATAATAGTTCTGTTGTATTATAAAAATAATAACAATTTGCAAAAAAGTTACTTAAGTACAAAAGACCTTTCTTGAGGTGCTTTATATATAGAATCAATATTTGTTATAACACAGAGTTCATTTTCCATAAATGTTTTTATAATCCGGCATGGAATGGGGCAAATTTTTTTTCTATGATCTAATTTGCCTCTACCGACTGATAGTCTAACTCTTTTCCTATTGTGCTTTATTAAGGATCAAACTTCAAGGATCTTGTTCCTATACATCAATTTGTCACATTTCAAAGCCAGTTAGTTTTTTGCTGCTGTTCAGCTTTCTTAGA